TATGCTGTCACAAAGGGTAGTAGCTCTTTCTTTCTTTGTGCTGCGTAGTATTCCGTTGTGTAAATGTACCATAGTTTTTTGATCCTCTCATTTATTGTTGGGCACTAAGGTTGCTTCTAGCCCTCGGCTATTATAAACTGTGCTGCTATGAACACTGAGGTGCACAGGTTCTTTTGAATTGGCGTTTTGGTATTTTTAGGGTATAATCCCTGTAGTGGAATTGCTGGGTCAAAAGGCAGTTCCATTTTTAGTTTTTTGAGGAAATTCCAAACTGTTTTCCGCAGTGGCTGCACCAGTCTGCATTCCCACCAACGGTGCATTAGGGTTCCCTTTTCTCCACAACCTACCCAGCACTTGTTTTTTGATCTGTTTATGATGGCCATTCTGACCAGTGTGAAGTGGTGTCTCATTGTGGTTTTGATCTGCATTTCTCTGATGGCTAGTGATGCCAAGCATGCTTTCACATTCACTGGGCCCTGTGTATGTCCTCCTTGGAGAAGTGTCTTTTCAGGTCCTTTGCCCCTTTTTTAATTGGATTGTTTGTCTTCTTGGAGTGGAGTCGTGTGAGTTCTTTACGTATTTTGGAGATCAAACCCTTGTCCAAGGTGTCTTTGGCAAATATATTTTCCCATACACTTGGTTCCTTTTTCATTTTGCTGATGTTTTCTTTAACCATGCAGAAGCTTCTTATTTTGAAGAAGTCCCATTTGTTTATTCTTTCCTTTATGTCCCTTGCTCTAGTGGAAATACTGGTGAAAACATTGCTTTGTGGAATATCGAGAGATACCTATGTTCTCCTCTAGGACTTTTATGGTGCTGCGACTTATATTTAAGTCTTTTATTCATCTTGAGTTTATTTTTGTATATGGTGTAAGTTGGTGGTTGAATTTCAATTTTTTGCATGTAGCTGTCCAGCTCTCCCAACACCATTTGTTGCAGAGGCTATTTTTACTCCATTTTATGCTTCTGTCCCCTTTGTCGAATATTAATTGACAATAGAGACATGGGTTTATTTCTGGGCCCTCTATTCTGTTCTGTTGATCTATGTGTCTGGTCTTATAACAGTACCAGACTGTTTTGATTACAGTGGCCTTGCAATATAGTTTGCTATCCTTCCTACTTTGTTCTTCTTTCTCAAAATTGCTGCAGCTATTTGGGGTCATTTATGGTTCCATGTAAATTTTTGAAATGTTTGTTCTATATCTGTGAAATACGTGGCTTGTATTTTAAGAGGGATTGTGTTGAATCTATAAATTGCTTTGCGTGGTATGGACATTTTGATGATGTTAATCCTTCCAACCCATGAACACAGAATATGCTTCCACTTCTGTGCATCTTTCTTAGTTTATTTCTTCAGTGTTGTGTAGTTTTCTGAGTACAGGTCTTTTACCTCCTTGGTTAAGTTTATCCCTAGGTACTTTATTTTTCTTGTTGCTATAGCAAATGGGATTTTTTCCCTGATTTCTGATTGCAGTATTTTATTGCTGGTATACAAAAATGCCTTCGATTTCCGGATATTGACTTTGTATCCCGCTGTTTTGCCAAATTCACTTAATAGGTGAGTCATTTTTAAGTGGAGTCTGTGGGGTTTTCTATGTATATTATCATGTCATCTGCAAACAGTGACAGTTTTACTTCCTTCTTTCCAATTTGGATGGCTTTTATTTGTTTTTGTTGTCTAATCACTGTGGCTAGGACTTCCAATACTATGTTGAATAAAAGTGGTGAAAGCAGACAACTTTGTCTTATTTCCTATCTTAGTGATAAAGCTTTTAGTTTTTGACTATTGAGTATGAGGTTGGCTGTAGGTTTTCCATATATGGCCTTTATTTTGTTGAGGTATGCACCCTTCACTCCCACTTTGCTGAGCACTTTTATCATAAATGGATGCTGTACATTACTAAATGCTTTTTCCACATCTATTGATATGATCATGTGATTTTTTCTTTTTGTTTGTGTGATGTATTACATTTATTGATTTGTGAATATTGAATTTCCTTGCATCCCTGGGATGAATCCCAGTCAATCATGGTGGATGATCTTTTTAATGTATCCCTGGATGTGGTTTGTCAATACTTTGTTGAGGATTTTAGTATCTTTGTTTGTCAGTGATAATGACCTGTAGTTGTCTTTCTTTGTTGTATCTTTATCTGGTTTTGGGATTAGGCTGATGCTGGCCTCATAAAAAGAGTTTTGGGGTGTTCCCTCTTCTTGGACTTTTTGGAATAGTCTGAGGAGAACAGGGGTTCACTCTTCCTTAAATGTTTTGTAAAATTCTCCTGTGAAACTATCAGGTTCAGGGCTTTTGTGTGCCAGGAGTTTTTTGATTACTTCTTCAATTTCGCCAGCTGCTATCAGTCTGTTCAGGCTTTCTCCTTCTTCTTCATTCAGTGTTGGAAGGTTATATTTTTCTAGAAATTTGTTCATTTCACCCAGGTTTTCAAATTTCTAGGCATATAATTGTTCATAGTAATTTCTTACAATCCTTTTTAGTTCTGTGGTATCAATAGTTATTCCTCCTCTTTCATTTCTGATATTATTTATTTGGGCCCTCTTCCTATTTTTCTTGATGAGTCTGCTTAAAGTCTTGTTGATTTTGTTTATATTTTCAAAGAACCAGCTCCCGGATTTGTTGATCCTTTGAATTGTTCTTTTAGTTTCTCTGTCATTCAATTCTGTTCTCATCTTGATTATTTCCTTCCTTCTACACCTCTGGGCTTTGTTGTTATTTTTCCAGTTCTTGAGGCTGTAGGGTTAGGTCATTTATTTGAAATGTCCCTATCTTTTGTAGGTAGGCCTGTATTGCTATGAACTTCCCTCTCTCAACTGCCTTCTCTGTGTCCCACAGGTTTTGGACTGCTCTGTGTTCATTTTCATTTGTTTCCAGACACTTTTTGATTTCTTCTTTGATCTCATGATTGACCCATTCATTGTTTAATAGCATGCCATTCAGTCTTCATGAATAAATGCTTTTGAGTTTTTCCTTGAGGTTGGTTTCTAGTTTCAAGCCCTTGTGGTCTGAGAAAATGCTTGTTATGATTTTGATTTTCTTTAATGTGTTGAGGCTTGTTTTGTATCCTATCATGTGGTGTATCTTTGAAACTGTTCCATGTGCATTTGAAAAGAATGTATATTTTGCTTATTTGGGATGAAAGGTGTTATATTTATTAGTTAATACCATTTGTTCTAATGTGTCATTCAGCTCCTCAATATCCTTCTTGGTATTTTGTTTGGAAGATATATTCATTATTGACAGTGGGGTGTTAAAATCCCCTACTATCATTGTGTTGCTGTCTATATCTTTCTTGAGGTCCTCCAAGATATTCCTTATATATTTGGGTGCTTCTATGTTGGGTGCTTATAAGTTTTCAAAGTTTATGTCTTCTTGATGGATTCTTCCTTTGAGTAGTATGAAGTGTCCTTCTGGATCTCTTTTGATGGCCTTTGTTTTGAAATCTATTTTGTCTGATGTAAGTATTGTACCCTGGCATTTTTTTCTTGTCCATTTGCTTGGAATATTTGTTTCCATCCCTTTCCTTTCAGTCTGTGTAGGTCTTTGTTCTGAGGTGGGGCTCTTGTAGGCAGCATATGCGCGGGTCATGTTTTCTTACCCATTCAGCTACCCTGTGTCTTTGGATTGGAGCATTTAATCCACTTACATTTAAAGTTATTATTGATAGGTACTTATTCATTTTTTCCCTTTGTATCTGTGTTCCTCTCTTTGTCACTCTTTTTCTTCATCTTCTTCAAGCCGTCCCTTTAGCATATCTTGCAGTGCTGGTTTGGTGGAGGTGTATTCTTTTAGCCTTCTTCTGTCTGGGAAGCTCTTTATTGTGCCTTCCATTTTAATGGAGAACCTTGCTGGGTAGAGCAGTCTTGGTTGCAAGCCTTTGCTTTCCCTTCTGGCTTGTAATGCTTTAGTTGAGAAGTCAGCTGCTAGCCATATCGAGGCCCCCTTATATGTTACTACCTGTTTCTCCCTTGCTGCCTTTAAGATTCTCTTTTTGTCTTTGATATTTGTCATTTTAATGATGATGTGTCTTGGAGTGGGCCTCATTGGGTTCCTCTTGAATGGGATCCTCTGTGCCTCCTGGACACTGTGGCTTTTTCTCTCCTCCAATTAAGGAAGTTTTCCATCATTACTATTTTAAACAGGTTTTCTATCTCTTGCTCCTCTTCTTTCTGGTATCCTTATTATTGGGATATTGTTACATTTCAGGTTGTCCTGCATTTGCCTAAATGCCTCTTCATTCTTTTTTAATCTTTTTTCATCTTATTGCTCTTTCTTGGAGCTTTATTACCTTGTCTTTCAGGTCACTGAACTGATCCTCTGCTTCATCTAGCCTGCTTTGGATTCCTTCTACTGTGTTCTTTGCTGCAGGGATTGTATTCTTCATTCATTGTATTCTCTTGCCTCTTGTTTTGGTTTCTATGTTCTTTTTCATGCTGATATAGTTTGCAGTAAGTTCCTTGTAGTTTCCCTGTAGTTTTTGGTCCTTCTGTCTGAGCTCACTGAGCTCATTGAACTTCCTTAGAACCATTGTTTTGAACTCAATATCTGATAGTTTACTTACCCCTATTTCGTTTCATTTTCTTTCTGAGGATTCCTCCTTTCCCTTCAATTGGTGGTGGAGGTGCGGGGGAGGGTGTTTCTTTCTCTTTCCATTATTTGTGAGACTCCTCTTTTTAGCTTCTGCTTCTTAAATTGATCTGTCTTGACTTCCTGACTTTGTGGTGTGAACTTCGATGGTAGGAAACCGCTGCTTTTTCTTTCTGGATCTGCCTCTGATGATGTCAGATGTTGACCCTGTCTGGCCGTAGGCAATCTATTCAAGACTACCAGGAATCTGCTGTCTGTGGCTCTTTCCTTCAGTTGTTAATCTAGCAGCTGCTGTTCTTATGGGAATAAAATATTAATAATTAAAGATATGCAAAACTAGTTTGTATTCACCATGCTGTTGATGTAAGATTTAATATGTTTTAACATTTTTCTTTTATAGATACATCTATATTGGATTACCAATAGCACTAAGAGGATTAAGTTTTATTCCTGCCATTTTGATCCTAATTATTTTGAGGAAATATCATCTACCTGGTGAAAATGCCTCTTTAGGATCTGTGCCTGGAGAGGCAAAGGTTGCAGGGAAAGAAAATGAATGCCAAGAAATGGACCAAATTTCCAAAGTTTTGGATAATGATGAATTGAAAACTAAACTGTAGTGCCTTATTATATCATGTTTCCCAGTGTTGGAGTACACACTATAACTTGTTTTTGAAATCAATAGAAGTACTGTAACTAACTTTTTCTTGTCTTTAAGAACCTCAAAAAAAGATTTTTTTACACAAGATGAAAAAATGTTCACTGATGGCATTTCTGATACATTAATAGCACTTGAGATTTTTTTCCTCAAATGGACAATTTTAACAACCCTCCAAACAGGAGGTTAACGCCAGCTTTATTTTTATCTTAAAACAGCGATTTCTCTTTTAACTTATGTTCATAAGAGTATATTTCTGACATCTCCTTTTCCAAATGATTCTAAAAATTTCCAGTTATGAAAATCTATTTAATTCCATTAAATTTCTGCTTTGATATTGAGGCTATTTAGAGACTTAAATTCTTATCCTACTTATGTGAATATTAAGTATTTTATTCATATTATCACTTCCGAGTTCAAGAAGCCTATGTCTTTTTGTTTTATTTAGAAATTGTTCTTTAACTCCTCCTATTCATTCCATACGTGACTGTCTGAAAATAGATTGCTCATCAGTGTGCCATCACATGCTTTCAGTTTGTTCCCTGCTTTATGAGTCATGCCATGTATTTGTTCTTTTGGTTCAGAGTACTGCCAAACTCAATCAGGTTATTAAAATTCATGTAGCAAAGATGGCTGGGATATTTTTTCAGCAATTCAAACCAGGTGACTCTCTCTTTAAAACAAGTGTCTAAGCCAGAGAATGAAAGGGTAATATTATAGAAACGCTGGTCCTTCAAGGCTGCTTGTAGTGAAGATATTGTCAATGGAATACTTTGCCAGATTCAGGAGGTCTCCTTGGGACATTGTTTATGACACTCACAGTGTCCTAAGTTAATACACAAACACTAATTCTCCATAAAACATATTATTTATTTTTTAATTTTACGTGGAAAAGCATTTAATGTGTGTATGAGGTTTTTTGTTTAATTGTTATTCAAGTAAGGCTGTCTCCATTTTCCCCCCACCACTGTCCCCTGTCCTGCAAGAAAATCCATAAGCCGTTTTAGAGAATGAAGCTTTTTAAAAGTAGTTTCTCTTATGGAACTGAAGTTAATAAAATTTAAGGTACACAGTTGAAACTAAATCTGCTTTATAAAACAAACAAACAAAAAACTGAATCTACTCACAGTATTATTTTATAACTTACAGATACAATAAAAGAGCCTTATAGAAAATGCAGAGTTTTGGGTCCAAGAGAGTAGAATGAAGAGCCATGTTTGCCTATTCCTTTATCTCCCTCCTTATTCTTTATCCAATTGAAATTATAGTCAATATATAAAATGATATAAATCCCTAATGGTGAGGAAAATGCAGAAAGGAAGACTAGGAGAAGTGAGTGTCAATATATTATGATTACTTATGTAGAATACAAAGGGAGCGAGACAGAACAGACTGAAAGAAGCTGTCATCCAGGATGTACCTAGAAGGAGCCTGGGACATAGGTTGGAGTCTCTGGTTGCAAGTTCAAAAACTACAAACTGGTAGCCGTACAGAATATAGGCCAGTTACTTGAAGGACTGTAAACACATATTTTTCAGACCAACATGATTTACCGAACAACTGGATGTGCCATATTTAAAAAAAAAAAAAAGCAACTCAGATGAGAAAGACTGAGTAGAAAAGGTGTTGGGGGAAGAATTAAGAGTTAATTTTTGGACTTGTGAAGTTTGAGACTTCATCTCTGTGTATATTAAAAATAAATGTGATTCAATACTGGGACAATGTTAAAACATGAGAGAGGACCTGAAACCATTGAAAATGAAGAGCACGCCTCAGGGCAGGCATGACTGCAGCAGTGAGGCCCTGTGTCGTGTTATGGCCCCATCACATTAAATTCGGAGTCGCTTTTTCTGGGGGTGAGGAAGTGCGGAAAGTGGTCTGGACAGTAAAAGAGGAGCAAGGACTCACAAATAAATATCCAGAGTTGTGAGAAAAAGTAAACAGGTACCACATAAAAAAATATTGGGGTCAGCAGTGTCCTCAGAAGAAACCCAGATTTTTGTTAGGGTGCAATGGTAAAGAGGAGGCTCATTTATGATTTTGAGAATATAGATGGTTTTGATGATGCAGGACTCTAAGTTCCTGAGGACAAAGTGAAAGAGAGCAAAGTTAGGAAATGGAGTCTGAGAGGAAAAGGTAGATGAGTGGAGGTGTATGGAAATCAGACATGAAAGTGAGAAGAAAGGGAACAAGAGATAACTTGGAATTCTGAAGCTTTGGAGTGACTGACATAATCAGTTCTGACAGATTTCAAGGAAGATAGTGTTGGTGAGATCAAAATTAGGAGGGGTCATTACTAGGCTCCTCTATGACCCTTGTTACAGAAGCAAACTAGAGAAGCAGAATCTTACTTGAGTATCAGTGTCTCCCTCTTGACTTCTATTGATTAAGTGATTAGAGGATGCTGAGTCTTGCTCTGTGTACAGTTCACCTATTTGAACACCCTCAGTGTAGAATAGGCCCACAGAGACATGGTTTTGGACCCAGTCCCATGGCCTCACTCTTATCCTCTACTCAGAAAGGTGACATTTTACTTGAAAGCATATTGTTCTCTCTTGACCCTTCTTGGGGGAAGAAAAAAGATCAGCGAAAATGAGTATTGGAGTGCTTTGTAATTCCTCATGACTTCAGTTGTTAAAGAGTTCATGAGGCCCTGGAAGGCCAGTTCTTATTCTAATCACTGTGCTCCCTCATGACAAGGCAGAGGTAGCAGGCAGTAGAGAAGAGAAAAAGGAGAAAAAAAGGTAGCTTAACTTAATGGAATTAGAAATAGTTTAATATATTATTTATAATTCTAAATGTAACCAATATTTATAGGACCTTAAAAAATAAGAACTTCAGAGAAACACAGAAATTGGGAAAAGAAATGTAAAGGGAAAGAGGGGGAATAAGCTCTTCATATTTCATAGCATAAAATTAAAGTATATTTTAAACTTGATAAATTGAGATGATATTGGCATACACATATTATTTGAATTACTCAAAAGTGGTTTCTTCAAAAAATCTCGAACATTTCTCTTGGCAACATTTTTTCCTGACATATGTCTTTGGACAAGGAAAAGAAAAGAAAACAAAAAAAATGGGACTACATCAAACTAAAAAGTTTTTGCACAGCATGGGAAACTATCAACAAAACAAAAAGGCAAGCTTCTGAATAGGAGAACATATCTGCCAATGATACACTGGATAAGGGGTTAATACTCAAAATTTATAAATAATTCATACAATTAAACACCAAAAAACTCCCAAACAATTCAATTAAAAAAAAGGGCAGAGGACCTGACTAGACACTTCTGCAAGGAGGACATACAGATGGCCAATAGACATATGAAAAGATGCTCAACATCACTAATCATCAGAGAAATGCAAATTAAAACCACAATGAGATAACACTTCACATCTGTCAGAATGACTATCATCAATAAATCAACAAACAAGTGCCCATGAGGATGTGGAGAAAAGGGAACCCTTGTGTACCTTTTGTGGGAATGCTGATTGGTGTAGCTGTTGTGGAAAACAGTAAGGAGGCTCCTCAAAAAATTGAAAATGGAGCTGCCTTATGACTAGTGATTCCACTTCTGGGTATATAGCCAAAGAAACCCAAAGTACTAATTTAAAAGAATATATGCACCCTTATGTTCATTGCAGCTTTATTTACAATGTCAAATATATGGAATAAACCAAATGTCTGTCAATAGACAAGTGGATAAAAAAGCAGTGGTACATATATACAATGGAATATTTGACCATGAAAAAAGAACAGCACCTTACAATTTATGATATCATGAATGGACCTAGAGGGTGTTATGCTAAGTGAAATAAGTCAGACAGAGAAAGGTAAATACCATATGATTTCACTTATATGTGGACTCTAAAGAACAAATAAACAAACAAACAAAATTGAAACAGACCCATAGATACAGAGAACAAACTGACGGTTACCAGAATGGAGGGGTTTGGGGGACAGGGAGAAAAAAGTGAAGGGATTAAGAAGTACAAATGGGTAGTTACAAAATAGTTATGGAGGTGTAAAGTACAGCACAGGAAATATAGTCAATAATATTGTAATAACTTCATATGGTGCCAGGTGGGTACTGGAAATATTGGGGGTAACACTTTGTAAAGTACATGATTATCTAACCACTATGGTGTGCACCTGAAACTAATACAAAATTATATTAAATGTAAACTGTTATTAAAAAAATAGAATAGTAGAATAGAAAGTGGATGCCACTGTGACGCTGGATTATCACAAGAAGGAGAAAAGAACGAGACATTTTTCTTTCATTTAAGTTCATTTTGCACTCTGATTTTTTTCCTGTGTATACAAAACATGATTAAAATGATATTTCATAAAAATAACACATCAGCAAAAGTAATAAAAGATAAGATAATGCATTCTACAGAAAGGGATGAAACTGAGCCCTCCAACTATGTTGTTGATGCTCCCCAATGGTGTTTATTGAACAATTATATTTTTCATTTCTGTACTTGTTTCTAGAGAATATGTGTGTTGATGTGTAATATGTGAGTCAGGTGGTAACTAAGTTGGGGGCTGTAGAATTCAAATAGAATTCAAATTGATGTCATTTTATTAAGGTGAGTAAATAGACACAGAAAACGCAGAACAAATAACTGTACAAGGTAACTTTAAGCATTATGGATATATGCTGAGTTACTAAGTAATCAAAGTTTTTTGCCTAAGCATCTCATTCAGGTCTTGGTGGGAAATGACTCTGGATTGATGAAGTGAAAGAAAAATACTTCGTAGTGATGAACAGAATAATAGAAAGCAAATGTAAGACTATCTCCTTTGCTACTGGCTACATTACAGTGATTACAGTTTTGACCAATGAGATATTGGCAAAGGCTTGATAATTGGGAAGGGATTTCTTTCTAAAATAATGAGAAAGCTTTCTAAGAAGATATTTTGCCCTTTTCCTTCTTCTTGCTTGAACGGTAGGTATCCAGCCATGAAAAGCAGGAAGGAGCATCTTGCAACCAAGAGCCAAGAAGCATAGGGATGAAAGACAGCATCTGAGGAGGAGGGGGCGGCGGGCGGGGTGCGGAGGGGAAGGAGAGCTACAGCCTGGCCACCCGATGCTGCGTGGAACATGTGCACCACCCAGGGCTGGGCTAAGTGTTGTGGAGTTTTAAGCCTATAAAATTTGAGAGGAGGGTTTATATAGGAAAAAAAAATTCAAAACTATCATTATAAAATGAGGGTAAAAGTGAATATTTACTTAGAATGAGAAAAACATTCACAACAAATTCCATGTGATATTCTTCAAGGTACAATTAGGATTTTGAAAACCCCTATGTAGCATGGCAGTGAGTGGGGGGAGCGCCGCCGCGGGTCGCCGCTTGTCCCGGTCGGTCGCCACCTGCAGCGTGAGGGGACAGAGCGCATCGTGGGGAGCGCGGCACCCTAGGATCTGAGGGTTACCCTCCGGGGGCCAGCTGAGATGAGAGCAGGCCTCTGAATCCCGCAGAGCCCGTCCAGGGGTCGTCACGAATGGAAGGAATAAACACCAGTCTTCGCAAACACTTCTCTGTTTTCCAGGAGAGGGCATATGGGGCACTTCCCTCTTTGTGGAGAAGCCCCCCTAACCCTTTTCAAAGGCTTTTATTGAAAAGGTTATCAGTGGGGCTAGGTAACAGGAATGCATCGGTCATCTCATTACATCAGTATGTTAAGGTTCACAGAGAATGGGTGATGTTTTGAAGAAAACAAATGGCAGGAACATACCGATTTACATGGGTATGAGAGGAGACTGACTAGCAAACAAGAGGGACACTAAAGAGGAGACCATAGCAAATTTGAGAGCGCCTAAGGCTATAGGGTTAAGGTCTGTGAATAATGTAAATTTCCTTCCCAGCCTGAGCTGGCTGTAGCTTTTGAGGGAAGAACAAAGCACACTTTAAAGAATTTACCTTTAGGCCTGATTTCCCTGTGAACCAGCAGATCTGGTTTAGGGCTGACTCTGGTACTGCTTCAAGCCTGAGCCGGGCAGGGGGAGGGAGCCGCCAAGAGACAAGGAGACTGCTTTCGGCTACAACGAGGATTCTGGCCACGTCCAAGCCGAGCTGAGAGGTGCAGGCCTTTTTGCCCTTTCTCAGTGTCCCCCAATTTTTTGTCTGCTGCCAATAATCAATTGGCATCTGTCTTAGGTCGTATACCCAATCGTCCTTGCCAAAACAGAGAGGCAGGAGCTATACCCCTGCCAGGGGGGAAAGGCTATGCCTCTTCAGGAGCCTGTTTTTCCAAGGCCTCCCTGATTATTTCCAGCCTTGGGGTCCTCCCACCTGTTGGTGGGGTTACAGTTCCTGAAACCAGACAGGGCGGTTCCCAACACCCTTGTTGCCAATATTATATTTAAATGGGAAATATTAAAACTTCCCTGCTGATGTTGGGAGTGAGAAGATAATGCCATTTATCTTCTATCTATGACCATTTCTATTCAATATTGTGTCCTAGCCAGGGAAATGGGGAAAAACAAATAATTAGAATTTGTAATGGTAAGAAAAGAAAAAAAAACTATCACTGATATGTTTTGCATTAGAAAATCCAAAAGTCACTACAGATGAGCTATCATAATTCATTACTGAATTTTAACTAAGTTCACTGTATATAAGGGAAATACACAAAATCAAATGTAATTTTTCATATATCAATAAAAATTAGGCAATTATATTAGGAAGATATATTACTGGGTTGGCCAAAAAGTTCATTTGGATTTTTCTGTAAGATGGCTCTGGTAGTGCTTAGTTGTCTTTAACTTCATTTACGATTTTGTTAGATTCTATTGTGATAACTGTCAGATCAGCATGCATTTAAAATACATTAAAATTGGTGAATTTTTGTGTAGCTATTTTAGTATTGAAGATGGAAGAAAATATGCAGCATTTTTGGCATATTAAGCTTTATTATTTCAAGAAAGATAAAAATGCAACTGGAACACAAAAAAAGATTTGTGTAGTGCATGGACAAGGTGCTGTGACTGAGCAAACATGTCAAAAGTGGTTTGTGAAGTTTTGTGCTGGAGATTTCTCTCTGGTTGATGCTCCCCAGTTAGGTAAACCAGTTGAAGTTGATAGCAATCAAATTGAGACATTAATTGAGAACAATCAATTTTATACTATGTGGGAGATAACCAAGGTTCTCAAAATATCCAAGTCAATAAAATTATTGGTGAAAATGAAACATGTATCTTTTATTTTACGGAAACAACTAAATGGACTTTTTGGCTAACCAATGTTTAGCATAACATAAAAATAACCACATTGAAATCCTAGCAATGAATCAGATAACATACCTCCAAAACTACAAAATAGTACAGAGAAATTGAGATCTATATCATATTTACTGATTCAAAGATTTAATATTATAAGGATGTCAGGTCTCCCAAAATTTATCTATAGGTTCAGTGAAATCTTAAAATAAAATTACAGTACCTTTTAAATGTGGACATATACAAGACTATTTTGGCCTTTACATCTCAAGCTTGGTAAATTCAAAAAGTATTCTCCTCCACTAATACTTTTGATAACTAAATGAAATGACAGCAATAAAAGTAACATGAAGGAGGGAGAGAGAGAGGGGGAAGATAGATTGATTCCTCCCATCAGGAATGGTATACTGTACTAAATTCCTTAGAATGCTAATATGGGGAAAAAGATGTTTAGGTGTATTGATATGAGGTGGAAAACCTTTAGCTTTTCATAATCCTGTATGTTTCCTTAAGACCTGGGGTGAAAATTATTTGCAGGCCTAGTATAGTATATGCCTATTAACTTCCAACAAGTTTGCCACTTCAAGTCATTGGGGTTGCTAGACAAAATTTAATTTTGAGTTATAAATGAATAAGGTCTGTGAAATATATGACTTAATACATGAATGACAGATGTCATGATAGCATATATCCTCCATTATACTAGATTTCAGGCTTGAGTAACACAATCCAAACTGTTTTGGATTTTTTTTTTTTTTTGTAAAGATACTATGCTTTTCTCCTTATTTAAGCTATAAATTTCTCTCCTCATTTTTTCACCTCTACCTATTCTCTTCTAGTCACCGGTTTTGTTGAGTTACATTACCCGAGCAAATACGTTTCCTTCTATTACATACAACTCCCACTTGAAATTTGTATGGGCCATATATTATAATCTTACTACAAATGCAGTCATATAACAATGAGTACTCCCATTCATTTTCATTTATAGTTTGTTTAATTATTATAAATTCATAGGTAATTCATTGTTCCATCATGTATAATGAGTGTGGTAATAGTCAGTAAAAGGACCTGAAAATGCTCAAAAGTAACATCCTATTGAATTAATACAACATTTATTGAAACACAGCAACAGAAGACTTTTTTTCTTTATTTACATATGGGTTTCACTGTCTGCTCTGGCAGCAGGTACAAAATGTCCATCATTATTTAAGAATTCTAAGTTTGCTTCATTCTCAGGTTTTCAACAATTTTCTGATGCCTTGGTATCTTTTCCTTGATATGTTTTTTTCATGGCATGAATGACTATAATATTCAAAATAATTGCTAATAATTTTAAACTTCCAATCAAGCCAAAGAAGGTATTTCTGTGAAAAGAAAAAGTCAATTTTTATTTTAAATTATGTGAAACAACTTACAATGCTTTTCTCCAGTAGGCAGAAGACCTCAAAAGAAAAAAAACTAATGATGTTTGAAATTATACATGAAAATATTAATGTAACAATTCTAGTGATATTTGTTATTGGAGTATTAAGAATTTTTGATTATTTTAAGAAGAATATTAAACCACAGAAACTAAGGGTTGTTAATGACCTACCCAAGTATTTTATATAAAGTAAGGTATATTTGGAATGTTTAACTTTCTCAAAGCCAGATTTTATGTGCAATGTGACAGATTATAAAGGAAATGAGTTGACTGTGAGATAATCAGATCAAATCCATTTAGATTGAACCTGGAGCCAACATTTAGCTGTTAGACTAAATGCAGTCCCAAATGCCCTGCAGTGTTGCCTACTGGAAATACTTAACAAAACCATGCAAAGTGGCCTAGTATATATGGTCTACCCCTGTGATTTTCAACTTTGGGTGCACATTAAAATCACCTGAAGAGATTTTAAAATTCCCATGCCCAGGCCACATGCTTTGACCAATTAAATCAAAATGTCTGAAGGTGGGACACAGAAATTAATATTTTTTAAAGCTCCTCAGGTGGTTATAATGAGAGAAAGATTGATAACTGGTGACCATGTAGATTAGGAAGCATTCACGGGCCTCATGACAGTGTTAACTAAATGATGACAGGCTTTATGCAAAAAATTGTTTTGAACAATTAAGGTTTAATTGAAGGTAGATGACATTAATTAATTATATAATTTTGACCTTTATAAACTTAGGTTTATTAAAATTTCAGTAGGGTCTTGTGGTATACCAAATAGGAAGGAAGCAATATTTTAAAAGTCTTCAAATATGTTTGCTTCATGCTTGATTTATATCAAGTAGTAATATACTAATGTTAAGCTTTTCAAATATTCCATTGCTGTCAAGAAAAATTAATGAGTTTTTCTTGTTATGTGACTGTTATTGAGAAAATCTGAATACGTTGTGTTTAAATTTAGGAGTGACATGAATATGCTTTTCTATTCCTTGGGTTAGGAACAGTTATTATATATCTGTACCAGATAAAATTATTGAACACTTATCTGGTTACCTCCAAATAATAAATCCCAAAAATCATAAGTTGACAATTTAACTTTTTGTTGTGCATTCCTTGGTGAACGCACAACTCTTTTTTAGGCAATTTCTTTCCCAAGTACTTTAGGCAGTGAACACAGCTGGCCGAAGGGAAAGTGGTGAGGGTGGTGACCGAGCTCCGAAGTGCATACGGTAATAGAGGGGTAGTTATTCCCAGTGTGCTGGATGGTGTAGACTTTAGGATGATCGTATGGTTGGAATTATAACGTACGTGGCTTACTCACATTGCCTTCTCTCACGTCAATCAATGTGCATTTCAGTTTCTATCTTTTTTTTTAGCCTGATAATTTCTTTTTTTCTCTTCACATTTTATTTTTTTTAAACTTTATTTTTATTGTTTACACTATTACAGATGTCTCCATTTCTTCCCCCTTTGCCCTCTTCCACCCAGCCCTTGCCACCCCTTCCTTTAGGCTGTCATCACACTGTTGTCTATGTTTATGGGTCATACATATATGCTCTTTGGTTAATCCCTTCACCTTCTCTCATCCAGCACCTGCCCCGTCCCCTCTGACGCTGTCAGCCACTGTGGAGAACAGAATTGAGTTTCCTCAAAAAATTAAACATGGAACTGCTTTTTGACTCAGTGATTCCTCTCTGGGAATATATTCTAAGAGACCTGAGACACAGATTCAAAAGAATATATGAGCCCTATGTTCACAGAAGAATTATTAACCATAGCCAAGATCTAGAAACAGCCCAAGTACCTATCAGTAGATGAGTGCATAAAAAAACCTGTGATACATTTACACAATGGACTACTACATGGCAATAAAAAAGTAAGGAAATCTTACCTTTCACAATAACATGGATGGACCTGGAGAGTATTATGCTAAGGAAATAAGTCGGTCAGTGAAAGACGAATACCATATGATCTCACTTATATGTGGAATCTAATGAACAAAATACACTGATGAACAAAATCCTTTCTTTTTATTATTTAATAATATTCTGCTGTATGAATATACCCCAGTTTATTTAGCTACTGAAGGACATGTTGGTTGTTTTCATATTTTGGCAATTATGAATAAAGCTGCTATACATATACATGTGCAGGTTTTTGTGTGAACCTAAGTTTAGAGCTCATTTGGGTTAAAAATTAAAATTGGGGGCACAGTTACTTGATTATACAATAAGCCTATTTTTAGCTTTGTAAGAAACTGTCACACTGCTTTCTAAACTGGCTGTACCATTTCCACATCATTGCCAACATTTGGTATTTTTTACTTTCAGTTTTTAAGAGCTCTTTATATGTTTAGGACATTTGCCTTGTGTCTGTGTTGTGAGTTACAAATTATTTTTCCAGTTTATCTTTTGTCTTTGAACTTTGCTTAAGATAAGTTTTGTGATACAGAGTTTTTAAAATATTTTATCATTTTTTTCTGCTATGGTTTTAAGGGTTTTGGGTCACACTTAGAAACATGATCCTGCTTCCTAGATAATTAAAATAATTTCTATCACAATTTCTTCTAATACTTGTGTTTTCAAATTTTAAATTTATGTTTTTGATTAATCTGCAGTTAATTTGTATTTAAAGTTAAGGTATTATTGCCACAATTTTTTTTCTAGATGACCTAGTTGTTTTGTTGTAATAGAATAGCGTAACAAAGTAGTATAGAAATGATTCTTTCCTTTTTGTTCCCCATTGACCTATGACTAGAGCCTCAGTGGGTCGTTTTGTATCTTCCAAGAGAAGCCAGAGGCCATTGAACATAGGTGCTGCTATTGGTTATTAGGAGAGGTTTGGAAACAAAAAAGATTTAAGTAGAAATCCCAGATCTTTTTGTTATTACCTGTGTGATTTTTGAACAAGTTACTCATTCTCTTTACATTTTAGTTTCTTTATATTTAAGAAAAAAAGAAGAAAATTTTCACCTTCTACAGTTTCTATGAAAGTACAAAATAAGAATGAGGTATCAGATTGCCTGATACAACACTGCATACAGTTTATTAAATGGTGGCTATAATTATTAATATTATTGTACTGACTGACACTTCATCCTTTAAGAATTAAAATCATCAAAGGAAAAATAAATTCATGCAATTCAATAATGACAACTTACCCATATAAATTGGAATTATACATCCTACAAGAACCTTGCTTCCCCTGGCTGTTGATGGACCACTTTATACATGCTCTATCAATTAGAGCTCCAAAATATATAGGTGCTAGAATTCCTCCTGCAACATGAGATGAGACGTCAAGCCAAGGAACACCTTTCAAATGTAATGGGGTGATATCCCATGTTGATACACTTTGGATTAAGTAAAAATTAAAAAATGTGGAGGACTCTTTAATTGTTTTGGCCTAATTCTATTCAAGAATCAAGATAATGAGGAATCTCGAAGAGTAAAGGGGGTTACATATATGGTGATGGAAGAACTGACTTTGGGTGGTAGACCCACAAAGCAATGTACAGGTCATGTATCATAAAAATATATACTCGAAACCTGTATAATCTTATTAACCAATATCACCCCAATAAATTCACTAAAAAGTAAAACAGGAGTAAAAAAGCTCAAACCACAAAAACAGCACAGACATCTTTTTTCTACCCTCACCTTGTCACCACACATAAGAACATTATATGTCTGTATACTTTGTTCTTCTTATAATGCCAATTAACTTAAGCCTGATCGGTGAAAAGGAGAATGTTGTTAGTAAAACATGAAGGTTATATTGATTCATATGCAATTTTTTTTGGCAAAGAGAGCTGGAAGAGTGGGAATAGATACTACAAAGAAATGAAAAATCTCTCAACTGCTCCCACTGCAGGAGATTTTTCAGTTCTGTTTTTAAGAAAATTAAAGGTAAGTGCCAACACTAGGACTTCCTCCCCAAAGAAGCTCAGGCCAAACCTCACAAAATGCTAAGCTCTTGGCCGGTTGTCCTTTCTTGACCCAGAGCTCCACGTCCACTTTCTGGGTATCACCAGAGCCCACAATTGTGCATTTTCTCTCCATTGAAGGGGTGCATTTCTAACACTTCCTGAAGCAGATCTGGCTGTCCGAGTCACAGCCTGTGGTGCTGAATTTTGTTCCTATTTTTGTTCTCATTGTAATGGTGCCTAGGCCTCCATGGTCTGTTCCTAACCTAATGTTTATTGGTGGTTTATGATTTTGCACTATGTGAGGCTTTTTAGGGACACGTGCATTGTCTTACACCAGAGATGCTATTTTACTGCTATTTTAATAAACTCTGAGACTGACTACTAACTTTAGGCATTGGAAATTTGACCAAAATATTTTAGGGACATCCCCATTTGGACCAAACTTAATGAATTAAATGCTTTAGGCAACAAACTTGGTCTTAAATAATTATTGGAACTTTAAAATTTCAAATAACTTGTTTTTCACATACCATCTTCCGTCTAACATATTCTATAGATCTTCCAAAATTTATGCATATATTGTTTTCAAGACAATCATTTTTGAATTGGAAGTTTGATAGTCAGTATGTATTTTTCCCATAGAAGCAGATAGGTTCCATTGTGTCATATACTGGGCATACCAAAATAGGATATTCACCACTAGGATGACAAAATTCCTTTTTTTATATTTTATGCCACTAGAGGAACTTCTTTATTCTCAGTCTGATTTCAGCATATCAAAAGGAGTACCGGCTCCCCAGATTCTACGTTCACCTGCTAGCTTCTATGCTCTAGATTCTAGGAGTAAGTCATCTCCATTGGATCTGGAGAGAGGGAACTGCTGGGATGGACAGAGGCTGTGAGATTAGAGGAGCAGAAAAGAGAAACCTGGGAAGGGAATTGCAATGGAATCCTGCAGCACCATTTTTTTCCCTCCTCTCCCAGGCCTCTTCTATTTCCTCTTTTTACCTTTGAGGATCTGTGGCCTTCTCCTCAATATACTTGTTGGACAACTTGTCCATTGCAATTTGGCCACAATGTTGTGGTTCTGTCTTTTGCACGCAAGGGTCCCAGAGATTGACCCCTCCCTCTTCCCTTTCCTTCTGTCATAAGCAGTTGCCTCTAGGCCATGATCAGTCTTCTACTCCAATTCCTAGGTGAATGGTGCCCTCTTCCTACTTCCCAGGATGTAGCATATAACATTAATAGGTCTTAGAGACATGCGCAGGAGTTAAACTAGAAGTTGTTAAGCTAACAGGAATATGCCCCCATCGGTGTAAAAGTGGGTGTAAAAGTGGGAATCTGGTCAGGCTGAGACTGTGCAAAACAACAGAAATGAATTTTTGCTGCCCAACTTCCCACTGCCTAGTTCTCTAAGACTGGGACAGCTACATTTTATTGCAAGTTAATAATGCAAGAGGAAATGAGAACTAAAAGAACTGAGCATCTTGAAAAATGGAGTGTTTTGAATGAAAGCTGAGGAAATTGCCTTTTTTGTTGTTGCTGTTGTTAGTGAGTAAGGTTGTCGAGGACTGAGGTTAAAAGCCTCTTTCTAAATATTCAAATGAAGCAATTAGCATTCCATTTACCATTTACCATTTAGACTACACGGATTCCTGTTAGCTTAACAACTTCTAGTTTAACTCCTGCGCATGTCTCTAAGACCTATTAATGTTATATGCTACATCCTGGGAAGTAGGAAGAGGGCACCATTCACCTAGGAATTGGAGTAGAAGACTGATCATGGCCTAGAGGCAACTGCTTATGACAGAAGGAAAGGGAAGAGGGAGGGGTCAATCTCTGGGACCCTTGCGTGCAAAAGACAGAACCACAACATTGTGGCCAAATTGCAATGGACAAGTTGTCCAACAAGTATATTGAGGAGAAGGCCACAGATCCTCAAAGGTAAAAAGAGGAAATAGAAGAGGCCTGGGAGAGGAGGGAAAAAAATGGTGCTGCAGGATTCCATTGCAATTCCCTTCCCAGGTTTCTCTTTTCTGCTCCTCTAATCTCACAGCCTCTGTCCATCCCAGCAGTTCCCTCTCTCCAGATCCAATGGAGATGACTTACTCCTAGAATCTAGAGCATAGAAGCTAGCAGGTGAACGTAGAATCTGGGGAGCCGGTATTACCCCCATCGGTGTAAAAGGAAGGCCTTTTACTCTGCCTATGGGAAGAAATATTCTTAAGTCTGAAAAGAAGGAAACACTCTGCACACCATCTATCTTTGTGTTGGAAAGAGTGTAAAACAAATATGTTGGTTCCTTTTTCTAGTTGAAGATGGACTTGAACGAGAATTAACAAATTCTCTTTTAGTCACTTTTTCTCCATCTCTTATTTGTCATTTATCACAAAAATAGAAATGAATTTTACTAATAGTTTTTTTTATAAAAATTGAAATTAATTACATCTAGTCTTTGAGCATGGATGTGAACATTTATATCCTAAATTTATAATTTGTCTATTTAGCATACCTAGTGTTCGTATAATGAATGTATGGAAACCCACTGCAAGTGATTTCAGTTCAGGTTGAACATTTCTGAAATAAAATAAAGGTAAAAAATCATTAAACATCATTAAAATGCCAAACTGAGTATGATATTAAAACATTTCTGCGTCACTGTTCTTCATGGTCAAATGAAAACCGTCAAGTCAACAGCTGATTTCATTTAAAGTTATATTTTCAGTTGTTTTAAAAGGAAAGATCTGGATGATAATAATTATTACTTTCCCTAATTTATTTAATGAGTTACCATTTCAGGATAATGTAACAAACATTTTCACATTGACGCCTTATGAAATCCTATGAGATAGTGGTCGGAACAGACTTTATTATGCCTATGAAGAAACTGTTTTTGTGTGGTCTGTTTAGTTGACACAGACCATGAGCACATACTTTTCATCTAGGTCATAGCAGAGCTCTTTCTACCATCCTATTTCTGTCATTGTTGTTAATAGAAAAGTTAACTAATATGATTCCTGAGCTGCATAATACAACCAAATTGGGGGGGATGTCAAAAAGGTATCTGTATTTTTAGATTCTAATGTATTTTAATGTCATTTTAAAGGTAGCAATCACATTTGTATCCCCTCTTAGAAATTAACTCGCTCTTGCATTTAGAAAGTTATTTCCATAATTCCATTTTTTTGTGGGTTTAGTGAACAGATGACACTACCACCCCTATGATAACCGAATACATGGATTACCCAGCAGCAATAGGGAGAGGGTGACAGAGGCTCAAAAATCTCTTTACTGAAACATTGAATTAACTGATACACAAAATTCCTTTTTTTCCTTGCGCTATTTTGATGACTGTATTTGTCCATAGAGATAAGTCGATTTGGTCACCTGAAAAGCATTTGCTAAGTGACGCCTAGAAGATTCCATGTTAGCTCTTATTCTTTGAGAATAAAGAGGTAAATGATGTTTCATATCAATTAAGTAACTTAGAGGAGTCATTTAATCTCTCTTAGCTTTAGTTTCCTTATCTCTGGGTGCTAGGACTCTCTCACTCCAACATAGTTTAGTGCATCCTTTAATCACACTCTGTCTCCTATACTTTTTCCATCACTCAAACTCTTCCATTGTATTCTCTGAAACTCAGCCTGTTACCAGCAAAATCCTTATCTCCTACAATTTTAGCAATCCCTTTACTTCTAGAAAAAGTCTGGCTGCCCCTGATGTCTCTCTTTCCAGGCATCTCTTTCAACTTCCCCCAACATCCTGTGTATCACTGGGCCTGAAGTATAGGACAGCCTTCTTGCTTTTTTTTTTTAAACCACTTCCATATATGAGTGTCTTCTCTGAAAGACTGCTAAGTCCCCTCACAAGGTGTTCTGTCCTAACAAACCATTTCCTCTCCAACTTGTAGTGTCTACAAAGTTGTCTATCACCACCCCACCATTCCTTGATGACTAGTACTAGGCTTTCTATAATTTCTTTTCCCTAAAACTACTTTTTGCCACTTCTCCTAATTATTTCAATATCCATATAGCCTGTTTTCCCAATGATCTGGCCTAGTTTTTTGATCTCTTCACACCATCAGTCTTACTTCTCCTGTCCTGTGGTCACGCCAATTAGTATACACTTCCTTAATACTCAATTTTGAGCAACCCCTTCTTCATAACTACCACTTAACTTTCAAATTCACTGCTTTCTTAACTCTCTTTCTTACATGCTCTTGATCTTGTACATATCAAGTATGCTTCACCTCAGGACCTTTAATTTTGCCACTATCTTGACAGGGTTACTCTGTACCTGTCCACACATCAGCATAACTTGTATTTTCATTCTTTATTTAGATCTTTTATTAAATGACTTCCAATGTGCTATATTTGAATTACTACTGCTTATTTGCCCCAACCCCGCTGTCTATATTCTTACTCTGATTTACTTTTCTTTTTAATCCTTAACATCTCTTCTATTTTACGTAGTTACTTGTTTATTTATTTACTACTTTTTCTTCTATACCAATCCATTTTCTTATCTCTTATTCCCTCCTAGAGGATAATAAAAACAGGGCTTATATCACTTTTGTTCACATTTTTGTCCAGGAATTATGTGCCCGACTCACATAATGAAACCGTATTGAATGAGTGAATAACATCACTACTGTTTAGCTTAATTTTAACAATAGCATATTGTAATGGTAGTATTACTATTACTATTATTGATTATTAATAGACTGAAATTCATATTTTTATTTCATAGTCCGCTTTGCAAAAGTTTTCTTTTGATAAAATCAAAGGCTGGTGAGAGATCAATAAATATTTTTTGACAAATGTAATGTTACGTTAACCTCTTTCTAAATAAGATAAAACATAGATATCATTAGTGATAGAACAATGATCTTTCACATCCTCTATTTCTCCATGAAAGATTTTAAATTAAGAAGCTAAGACTTGTTGAGATGCAAACTAATATGGAGTTTTGAGATGATTTTCTGTAAGTTAGTATCTGTAATTTGGCAAATATGAAAGATTCCCCTTTCGAGTAGAAAACATTTTATATTAAGGTGGAGCTATATCAGTGAAATTAGTATAAAAACTTGACAAAACTTGGGGTCAGAGTAGAATTTAAACCACTGTAGACTCAGTTCATAAGTCTATAGTCATTTTAGCAGAAGTCAATACATTTTTTTCCTGTTCCATGTTATGCTGTTGGCTGACAGATACTTGTGGCCAACTACCTAGGTCTTACAAGTATAAGTAAATGTTAACCTAGGTCACCATACCTATACATACATGTTTTTTAAGACCTACATTCAAATCTTTATGTTTTTAGTTTTAGGTGATTGAATAATTAATTTCACAGTAGTGCTTGTCTTATATGATCCCTTCCTAACCCTCCAATTTTTTCATGCACCATTTCTCTATCACTCAGAATGTTCGAACCAACTGGCTTTTCATTCTTCCAATACACAAGCTCTTTCCTGCCTTAGGGAGTTGGCTCCTAGACCTACAAGGTTCTTCATTTGGCTAACTTTAACTTACTCCCTGGATCTAACTTTTACTTATTCTCTAGACCTTTAGATTAAATGCCACTTGTTTTGAGAAGTACCCTTTAAGTCTTCTTTCTCACAGCTCTTCACCTCAATCCTAAATTAGGTTTCCCTTTTTATTCCTTTTAACAGAACTCTTTTTCAATATGAGTATTAATGACAATTTATAATTAAGTGTTTATTTTTAAGCTTATTTGTCTCACGTCAGCCTTCCTTGTCATACTCTAAACTGTATAGGAATAGGTATTTTATCTGTTTTATTCATGATGGGATATTCCTGACCAAACTTGGTCTAAATATTAGTTTAATGAGTGAAGAAAGGAATTAAATCTGTTTATATATTTTTCTCTTGTCTGTGAAAGCATTTGAGAGACTAGGTTAAAAACCATTCTAAGGGTGGATTAAAAGCTTTGGAATATTATAGACCTTATATTATACAGTCTGGTTCCCAAATATTTTCTTTCAATAAATCAATAGGTAATTCACTCTGACAGGCTTATCAGGGTGTAAGGTATTTCAAAATTAAAAGTTCTTTTTAGAATCACAACAGAGAATTTTTTAAGCATTAAGGCAATTTTCAATCAGTCTGTTTTAATATTCTTAATAAGGAGAGCAAGTATAGAATCTATATTTTGTAATGTATGAATCAGAGATGATTTATTATTAATTATGTCATTGAAATATCAAAATAATTATAAGAAAATGCATTCTTAGAATATTAAAATATAACAAAATATGAATTTGGGTTCCAAATATATTACAGGTAATTATGTACATTGTTGGGTGTGCTTATAGTCTCATACACATAAAAATGCTTTTAAAAAGTGATACTCACCTAAAAACCAGGATGATAGATGAGGTGACTCCCAGTGATGACACAAGAGGATTCAGGATTTGTAATACTATATAAATATAAAATTTTTGTATACACTGATCATCTTTTGGACATGCACCTAATTTTACTGAGTTATTTTTGTTCTGGAAACCAGTTGTTGCCACACAACTACAGTTATAAAATACCTACAAAATAGTTTTTGAGATATTACAGAATGTATTTGCACAATATGACTGGTCTATAAATACAGTCCATTATATTTAATAAATCTCATTCATTCAAGCTAAAATATTTACAGTTTGTAAAGAAAATATTCTAAAAAATATAGTTCCTTGTTATTTGAAAGGTGAAATACTTGTCTGGATTCCTTTCTAGAAAACAAAATATAATTCATCATTAATATTTAATTCACCTCTGCTTTAAAAATTAGAAAAGAATAATTAATGTCTGAAACTGTATATAATTTTCTCCTTAATATAAATTCTTTTACTATTTCTTTCCTACTCACTTTTACTATCCATAACACACCTATTTACTCTCTTTAATGATCTCTACTAAGTATCAGGGACATTCCTTGACAAGGGATTACCCAGGAAATACAGAAAATATAGTAATTTGGTAGAGGCCAAAATCCTGGATTAGAGCCACCCAACTAGATGGGGGAGAGTCCAGGGGAAAATGGGCCAGTCGAAGGTATTGGAATTACCCTTGGCCAGCAAACTCCAAGTTTAAGAGCATAATCACAGATTATAGAATAGACAATGTTTTACCAGAGAAGGTAAACCCAACAGAATACCCTAATAGTTAGAGCACAGAAGGAAAACATTTAGGAACAAATGATTTCAGAGATTTCATTTGGCAGGCACTTTATATAGATAGGCAGCTTCAATAATTGTTTCTGAGTCTAAGCTAAATGAAGGTTTAAGGAAAATTTAAACCTGTTAGTGCTAAAAGCTAATTAGTGAAGGAAAAACAGAGGAAGAATTTGAATCCCTACTTATCTGATAACCAAGTTTTACTTTTGTGCAAGGAATAATGTAGAAAAACCCTTTATGTATCAAGCCCATTGTCCAATAAAACCAAACTTATGTATAATTAATATTAATTAGAATGATTAATAATGATTTATTTTTAAGGATTTGGTAAAATAATTCCTAAATATTCCCAAAATGTACAGTCATTGCCAATATTAAGAAAACAATGTCATCATACTAACCAGAGTCCTCTATGGTATTCTAACATCATGTCTCAGGCATCACTAATAGGCAAAGTGAGACCATGGATTAAATGGGGCACTTTCAGAGAGATGCAGGGGTTAGGCAGTCCTTGGGTCATATTTGTGCAAATTTATGGTCCAATTTTAAAAAATCTAGGTGCTTTGTTTTTTTTAAAGTTTCTAGTGCCCTTCAGTAATATGATTAATAGAACTGTGGACAGAAAAATTTGAAAAAAGTTTGAAAATCAAAGCCAGAAGGGTGTGGTAGGAAGCAATAATCAAAGCTGATTATATTGCCAATGCTGGTTATAGAATAAAAGGGCCTAGGAAATGACTCTGCAACTTTGTGAGAAATTCAATGGATTGGTGGTAAAATAGAGAACACCATACTTCATTCCCAACTAATAAGAATTACCTAGGAGATTGGGGAGAACTCATATTTTGCATGGAAAAAGATATTTTGAGTGAAGAAGTAAATGGAATTTCTATCAGAGATGCCATCAATAGGTTAGCAGAATACCAAGTTATTGTGGGTAGAAGGAGTGCCAGCTTTGGGGACATCGAAATTAGAAGGCAAGAGTTGGACAGTCAAGCACAAAGCTTTGATTACTTTTTTTGAAAGATGAGAGTGTAGTGAGGCTAGAGATAAACTTGTCAGAATCTCTATGCAAAATTACATATAGTTTTCCTGGAAAAGCAGGTAGTACTGACAAGAAGCTGGTTCAGGACTTGCTCCTGACTGCTGACGGGTATAAAGGACTTCCAACTTAATTAAAATCATATCCTTTCATCAAATGAGGGGCTTTTATTTTGTATTTTTATTTTTTTATTGGTTGTTTTTTATTTCTAACTATTTATAATACTGTGAATACTACAGCTATTCAAAAAAAGTAATTTCTACAAGGAATATAACTAGATACACAGGACAAAGACAAGATATTCTTAGCCAGCTGTGCTAGTCAATAAGGCAATAAACCTTTACTAATCTATTACATATTGTTTTCTAGAGTATCTTGTGGTATATGGTAACTTATAGAAATTGACTCCTGCAAAAGATTTAAATACTATATAAACATCCAATGAATATGGGTATACAAATTACCTAAGTATTTCACTAAAGGGAAAAGAATCATCGTAATTATAGATTTAAAGTAATGGTGCATTTTGGTGGGGAGGGTTGATTTAATCTTTATTGTATTTTTTCCTTTACCATTTAGACCTCTTATACCCCCTCCTCCAGCAATCACCAACCTTCATCCGTGGCCATAAGTCCTTTTTCCTTTTTGCTCAATCCCTCCACACCCAACCTCTTCCTATCTGCACACAGCTTTTTAGAGATCCTAAATGCACTTAAATTCCAGAAGGTCATAGTCTCATACACTGAAGAGGAAAAAATGCAAGTACCCTCAAATGATAATTCAAGCAACAGAAAAATCTGTTTGTGTCTCAGGTCAAACTTTGTTCTATTTCTGTATAAATTTTATACAATCCAAGCAGAATTTTATATGAGGTTTTGTTTACACAAGATCACAGCCATTACAATGGCACACAATACTGTAAGTCTTTTTCTTTTATCTTTGTACTGGAGCCACAGTTATAGAAAAATTTGATAAGTAATTGTTAAATCAATATCTGTGATTTTGATTAAGGAGAGGAGGAAAAAACTCATACTTACTATAGTCTTTTTGTTGCCACTTGAGGATTTACATCCTGCTAGACAAGGTGACATGTAAGTTAATCCATTGTCCCCACAGACTGGTTCCCACTGGTTTTTATCACAATTGCAGTTTGAGTTGCAATAAGAAAGTGGTACATTTATGTGAGTTGCCACTGAATTATTTCTGGAAATATATGATGGACATATATCAGAAAGAGAGAAAGAGAGCCAGAGAGAGAGAGGGGGGGGGGGAGAGAGAGAGAGAGAGAGCAAGAAGGAAGAGGAGAAGAAGGAGAAGGAGGGAGAGTGGGGAAGTAAAAAAGAAGAAAAGGATGGGAAGGGAAGAAGAGGAGAGGGAAGAAGAGGGCAGAGAGGGGAGAGGTGAAGTGAGGAAAGGAGAAATAAGGGAAAAGGTGATTTAATTTGATAGGGAAATTCAATGAGCAACAATGCCAAAATGGCAGGTTTATAGGGCTTATTAAATTTCTTACCCTCCATCTTTACCCAGATATGATTTTTGATCTAGATAAGATAAAACAGTAAAAGAAATCAAAGAGGATAGGTAAGACTTAGACAAGAAGTCTTTGTGATTCTATCACTTCATTTTCTATTACTCAATTTCCCTTCAGCAGGGTAATGACATTAGACTAAGGTTCCTCCTAGCTCACTGTAAAGTCCCATAAATCTGTGAATGTTATTCAAATAATTTGTATTTAATAATCTATATTTTCACTACATAGGAAAAGAATTGGGCATGGTTAAGGCAGAATCCCTGAGGATAAATTTTTTTTTAAATCAAGAAAAATACAACATTGAGAAAAACTAGAAAAATTCCATATAATTTTTAAGTAAAACTACAACATACTTTATAATGACTTACTGTAAAACATAGTTATATTTGTGAAGTATAACCTTAAAACACTGCTAACATTACAAAATAGAACTTTTGTATAATTAATTTTCTGCTTATAAATTTTTAAAATAATATTTTTGTTTTTGGTAGAAGTCTTGATAATATTTGGGGATGGATAAATTATCTTTGAATGAGGAAATACATGGAAAAAGAGAAAAGTAGATTTTAAAATTCTATTATCAATAATTTTACTAAAAAGCATCTAACACCTAATTTGGCTTGGAGACATATGACTGGGAGGGGTTAAGCTTGATTAATGACTCAGTCCAGACATTGCAATCAGCAACTCCTGTGTTCATATTAGTTCTGTCATGTCTGTGCATTGTGACTACTCTTTCTAAAGTCGGTTCTGCCATTTGTAAGTCGTATATAATAACATAAACCTCATAGGAATTTTTTTAGAAAAAATTAATTTGGCAGTTCTCAAACTTTTTGTTCTTAGTAGCCCTTCACATTCGAAAGTTTGTGGGCCCTCAAAGTGTTTTGTTCAAGTGGGTTATATCTTTTGATATTTACTCTCTTAGGAATTAACGCTAAGAAAACTTTAATGCATGAGAATATACAAGCACACATATCATAGGCGTCCGGCTAGTGTCATCATTGCATTTCTTGATGGATTAGAAAATGTCACTATACGTTCATGAGAAAATGAGAATGAAAAAGGTGAATACTATCTCTGTATTATTTTTAAAATACTTAAAAATTTGTTGACACTCTGATAAACTCTCAGGGACCCCTACAGACCTTTTTCGGACAATCTCTACACTAATTCACCCTTCAAAAACTTACCCCAGTGACTAGCATTTCATATATGCTGAATACATTGATCCTGTGTTTGCTAACATTATACTAGGAATTCCATGAGGACATTGATGTATTCTATAAATCTCTTTGTCCCCTAAGGAGGCTTGACTTTGTTGAATTTTACTGATTGAAAAAAATCCCATAGGACCGTAGCTGCATTCTTTTGAATAGACGGCACGGTTATTATACTTGTTTTCAGGGAACTGGCTAAAGGCTGAAGCCTGCCCTGACAACTAGGGAACCCTTAAACCAATGACATGATGTAATGCCGTCTGGAGGCATCGTAGACTTCAGACAAGTCATAGTTTCTCTGAGTCTCAACTAATAAAAAGAGAATATAAGAGGGTTGGGCTGCATGCTCCTAAGGTTCTTTTACCTCTAAAGTTCAATGCTCTAGGTCCTCTGTATTTTGATTTAACAGTACAATAGGTGATGCTGTATAGAAATAATAACAGTCAGGATTAGGAGGAAGCCAGGAGATAACGCAAGACTAGGTTGGCAAGCCTCCAATAATAGGATGATGCTTAGGTAAGGAAATAGGGGAATATTAGACAGAAAATTGATACTTCATAAGATCTAGAGTGTAAAAGCTAAGAACCAACAATAAGCAGTTAAAGAGTATGCTTCCTGAACTGTGATTCAAGAATCTTTGCTTGTTACTTGAATGGGAACTTTTATAAATATGAACCTTCCTAAGCTTAAGTTGTTGGCTGTATTCAGGAGATGATAAATATGCACAGGAATCTTGCCCTTGATTTGTGAAGTATTGGGGAATAATTCACAATACTTGATAATAAAAGTTAAAGGTTTTCTAGTGTCTGATATGCACTTATATATAGGATATTTATCAATTCTGTTAATAAAGACAGTGCCAAAAGAAGCAGTATTTGTTTGCAGAAAAGGTGAACTCAGTAATACAATATAAGAAACTGTTTTCTTATGAAGGTAGTTGTTAAACATCAAAATTAAATGCAGATATATATAGTTCAGCCACTTCTAGAAAATGTCATTTATATTCATCTCATGATCCATCCAAGATTATAATGATTAAGGCTAAGAATTTTGGAGTAAAGAACCCAAAATTTGAGTCTAAATCTTAACATTGCTAGCCAGGTATCCCTCTAAACCTTGCTCTTCTAATCTATAAAATTAGGATAAAAGTACGCATCACTCACTGTAAGCACCCCATAAATGATAACTAATGTTACAAACTATGTAGTTTTTTACTCTTGCAGTCTTTTACATTAAATAGTTTATACATTGTGCAACTATATATTAATATATACAAACCCATCATAGGTCAAGGTTAGGCCGGCAACTGACTTGCTTTCACAGAAGAGTGCAAGATTTAATAGGGTTATTGTGGTGCTCAAAATATTGATACAAAGTAAATATTTGGCAACTCCAAGCAAGGTAAATTTGAATTTTTTAATGATATATCCTCCTGTAAACATTCCAACTGCAACAGATGGAATGGCTACAGTTCCTAGAAATAAAAGAAAAATTATAATTATATACAGTTAATCTGAAATGTCTTTACATATGAAACACAGTGTACACCAAGCAAATTTATTATGATCTTATTACTTCTTAAACATGGCAGGCATGGATGGAGGCAAGCAATCAGTATACCATATGGGAGAGATAAAAATTATTTCCTCCTGCCAATGCTGAGGGTTTGGTTTCCCCAAAAGCCAAAGTCAGTGACAGAATATTTATATACCTGAACAGATGGTTTTTATGAGATGCTATTTCATCCTGGAAATCAACAAAGCATCATCTTTCTGCCCATGAGATTTTTGTCCTACCATCTAAAATCCTTTACTTCTCCTCAAATGAAGAGTTCTAATTCTTAAAAACACTCCCAATTTACCCACTACTTTATAACTTAATACTTGAATTAATCTCTCTTTTTTATTAATTCAAACATACACATATACCTTGAGATGATAAACAGGCCTATATACAGTATTAAATATGATTGACCCATCTTATAGGTTTTCATTTCATTGTAATGCAAGAATTATTAAATATGAAGAACATTCTCACAAAAAATTCAGGGTGGGGAAATTATGAGAGTCAAGCTTAACTCTTTAAGTTTTTATCTCAAATTCAATATGAGCATCATATATAATTATTATTTTCTTGTTTACTTATGAACTGCTCACATATTACTTGATAAATTCTATCAAATATTACTTGATAATTTATCAAATATTTATTGTTTCCACAATATGCTGGGCACTGTACTGAGTAATGTATTGCTCTTAAGAATTTTATTTTACTGGGTGTAGGGGAAAAATGATGTAAGAAAACGATTCCTTCTTGAGCAAATTTCACGATGTCATGGTAAATGAATATTGTAGCAAAAAAAACCTTTCTACATATAATATTTGTTTTGAATTATGTAGACATCAATGACATGTTTAAGTTGTTTTTCTTTGGGAAACATCATTGTTCTATTTTTTGCAAGTAGCTGAGTCCTGATTCAACGTCCATGAGTTATGGAAAGATAATAATTACATTACAAAAGGCTTTGTTTCTGGATCTCAGCACCAAATTCTAAGATCCAATTATGCAGATACCATGTCTAAATATTTCATTTACACTTAATTTTTTCTTCAAAAATAATATGAAGTGCGACTTCAAATACAGAAAAATGGTATCACAAGATTGACAAATTTGATAAGATTTGCAAAAAAATAAATTGAAATTATATTAACTAAAATATGAAATTGTCATCACAATAAAATATCACTCAAAACTCAATTAGTTGGTAGTATATTGCTTATCAAGCAAACACGAACACTGTATCTTACCCGTCCAAAAGTTAGATTCAGATGCTGACTTATCATACTGTTGTTCCATGTATTTGAGGATATAAGTAATAATACCAATATAGGCACTGGATTGCATCAATGTCATAAACAAAACCAAAATATATAAGTGATTGGTAAGGATACTCTTTAAGGACTGGAGAAAACCTAAAAAACATAAATATAAAAAAACCTAGAATAATGTAGTTTAAATATATATTAATATCTTAATCTTCTAAGTATGTTATATAACATTTAAAGTTATATAAATACTGACACAAGAAAGTCAGACTACCTGCAATCCTATCAACAATTTCTAATAAATTCCTTCAATTTTTTCCATATATACATTAATGTTTATTTAGTTCAGTTTACCTTAATGAGATCATATATACATGCTGTTTGTAACTTGCTTTGTTCACATTGTATTTCGTTGTTTTTGCCACTCTACCATACAACTATATACATGATTAATTAATTAATTAATTCATTCATCAAATACTCATTTTCAACTGGGTACCAGGCAATATGCTATGTGTTCAAGAAACAAAGTGAGTAAGACATTCAATGTCTCTTATTTCTTAGCCCTTAACAATGTAATTATTACATTAATAATATAATTATTAGATAGAAGTTTACCTAAAGATAATATTATCTAAATCTCACAGAAATAAGAAGACTAAGATTCAAAAATCATGAAAATCAATTTAGTGCCAGGACACAGATCTCTTGTTTTTGGTATATAGCTTTTCTACCATAAACTACTGCCTCAGTAAACCTGGCAGTATTATATATTACTTTTCTTAAGGTGCAAGGAGAGGCCGAGAATAGTGCTGTGTTTCAGTTGATATTATGCCAATAATAGTACAACCATTTGCACCTACAGATAGATGTGTAACAAATTCATGACTCTGTCCATGACAAAAATTATGTGATCTGGGTCTGTGATTAACAAGCCAAACAGCTGTATTGGGAGTTAAAAGTTGAAGGAGCTACTTAGAAAAATAGGAGAGGTAGCAAGGTCTAAAAGGACAGAACCAGATACAGTTATTCAAAAATGGGTGACAGAGGATTTGAAAGATCTTGTTCTGTAGATCACTAAAGGTTTTCATTAGATATGGTCAGAATCAAGCCTTCTTTCCAATGGCAACTAAAAAAGAGTTTTATCTGCTCTAAGCAGAAAGGATAGTTGGGGCAGACAGTGTAGAAGAGGAAAAAAGAAAAGAAAATTTATAACTGGAATAAATAACATTTAAAATTGTTACACCAAAGTGCTAAACTTTTCTCATGGGCCTCCACCATCCAGAGGACCACTGACTAGTGAAGCATTCTAAAGAAGTTGTGTCAAAAGAAATGGAGTGGAAGTGTTCAACAAATCATTGAATTTCTGAGGTGGGTGGGAACTTGCATGTTGTCTCGTCTGAACTTCCACATAATCATGATCCACAATATATCCTCAATAATTGGATCAGTAAACAAGTCAAGTAACATTAAGCTAATGCCCTCAGAAAGAAATTTGCTCCATTTTTGGCCAATTATTATTGTTTATGATTTGTTTTACAAATTGTTTCTGTAATGAACTGAAATATTTCTTTCTTTCTAACCAGTTAGTCTTACGTCTAGTCAAAAACATATAGAACAAATATAGTTTTGTTTGTTTTGACTCAGTGGTCTTAGTTATTTTATTTATTCCTAACAGTGCATAATTAAGGACCTCTTTACTATTCTGGTCAGTATCTTACAGTTGATAATATAGGTGATGTTTACATTTGTCCTATTTTTGCATATTCATTATCCTCTCCATTCTCTTGTGGCTTACAGTCAGTCATGCTCCTTATGGGTTTAGTCAGTTCACTACTTTTCATGGATTTGAGTGGTTAAAGTGGAAACAGCATAGACCAAGTGAAATTTTCTCGGTATGCTACTTTTAGTGTACGTGTTAAATTTCAGAAACTTCCAACTCAGTGGTGTGCTGCTAAATGTTTAACTGACTCTAGGGAAAACTAAGCCTAATTTCTAGTATTTCTCAATTTACATGGTAATAAATGATGGTAATTCTCCCACAATGGCCAATTTCAAGCTTCCAGTGTGGCTGAAAAATTAACAGTCTTTTCTCACAAGCCAATAGAAGCTAGCTCCATCAAACCATTTGTTTTGAATTAGAGTGATGGGGAGGAGAATGTAACAATAAAGTGAGTATAAGAAATTAATGAGAGGGAGAACTTGGGCTACACCTGAGAATATTTAATTCACTTCAATGTGAAAAGCTTGTGAAAGGATTAGGCATTGCTCTGCTTTGGGTTTTATATTCCACCATTTCTGTGCAATGTGAAACTGCACGAACACCTTGTTTCAACTACCTTACTCTGACTGCTGCTGGATCATTCTGCAGGTGATTGCTCCTAAATTGTTCCTCATTAGCCCTCAGAACCCATGTTTGAAAGGGATGGCACTATCAAATGGTATAGGATCATCATTCATCTGACTGACATCAATAATCTTAGCTACTGCTGGTGCTTCTATTTTTTTTTTAATATTTAGGTAAGCAAACTTTTTTCTATGTGATTACAAAGAAAAAAATGTTACTCTAATTATCTAGAGAGAAACCTCTGACTTCATCCTCCTTACTCCACCTAAAAATAGTTAAGTTGCCCAGTTTATAGACACTGATAATTTCTCATACCTCACATTACTGCAGTACTTAAAGACTATATTGCAATTGCCTATATGCTTCTTGGTATAATGCACTAGATTGTAAATTCTAGGAAAATAAGCAATGTTCTATCACCAGGGCATAGTTCAGTGCCTGGTACTCTTTGCGAATGAATGAAAGAATGAATGAAATATAACAGTCCTTTTAACCCTCATAGGTTACAGCATATTATTTTGAAATGAATATATACTCTTTGGTTTATAAGTAACAGATATTCTCAGTCTTTGGTTGGTTTCTCCCTGCTAAATTCTACAAACGTAGTCCTTTTCTCTTCAAAGACTTGATATGTATTCAGAAAACATTTACTCGCCTTAGTAGGAATCTTAGAAAAATAATTCAACTAAATTCAGTGCAGAACAAAGTTAACTCTAGGTGATTTGAGAATGATGTTGTTTTGGAATACTCACTCCTCCCTTTCACTAGAATTAACAATTCCAAATGAAAATAAATATGAAATACTTACTGGTTATATTTCCAGTCACATTTTTCCTGTGCTTGGTTGGACTAGCCACCTGACTCCTTTCCTCATTTATTTTGAGCATATGCAAAGATGCTGAAGCTTTCCTTTCTTTCGGTAGCTTATCCAGATTTTTGGGCAAGAAAAAAAATGGTATGGAAGAAATAATGGATAATAGTCCAGCAAAAAGGAAACCAAGCCACCAAGCACCAACCCAACGAGAGTCCTTAGGAGTTATTCTTATACTGCCTGTAATGAAGAATTAGAAGAAGACAGCAAAAAATTACTTTAAAATGCAGTAATTCCGGGCAATAAGGGTAATAAATGCTCTCCTCCATAGTTATACAAATAAACTATATTTTATCAGTTCTGAGACACTATTTTCTTTCTTCACATGTTGTTATCTCTTAAATGAGGATAAGCTTAAAATTTAATTACATCATATACTTGCTGTTGTCTAGGAATCAGTCAGGACTTTGCCTGAGCTGGTGTGAACTTGGTGGCTTTTCTGATGACATAACTGGACAAAGCTATCATTGAACATTTAAACCTGCAAACCATTGAGGCACCAATTATGGAAGGCATAAAAATCCTTGCTCTTGTCTGAAAACTATTGGCACCATCTGCTGAGGTTAAAAAAGCACTAACAGTGAAATTTACAGAAGTTTGCAAGAAATTCTCAGAGCCAATCATAGAGGGCCCCCACCCCCACCAGACACAGAAACCTGCATTTTCAATTCTTTGATAGCACAGAAGATAATATTGAAGATAATAACACAACAAAATCTGAGTTTAAACATGACCGGGAGAATTGTACTCTAAAATTTAGGGATAATTTAACTATTTTATTTAAATTATATTTTTCCTTAAGGCATGCATGAGTAATATGTAAACATTATATCTAAACAAGTATAAATAAGCTATTTCAGTAAACATTCTAAGTATAAGAAAACACGAACACACATACATATACACATCATAGAAGTTGGAAGCACAACAATGGTACTGTATCAGGAAACTTAGTGACATGAGAAAATATTGACTTTATTTAAACTGTATAGAAATAAATGTGGAAGGGGGAAATAAATGGTGATAAAAAATAAAAATTAAATTAAAAATAAATTATTCATTCTATTTACTGGAGTAGCTTTCAAGTATTCAAGATCAAAGTTTAAAATTGATTTACATGATCATATTGTTTCATAATACTGATCATATTGTTTCATAAGCAGCAACTCAGACAGATTTTTAAAAATGATTGGTAAAAACAGTGACTCCATCTACATGCTAAATATTATTCATCTATCAAATGTCATTTTGATAACATTTTTCATGTTCTGTCACTGGTGTATATACAGGAACTAGAAGTCATAATCTAGCTAACCAGGGCCTGTGAAGGTGTTTTCCTTTTTTTTTTTTTTTTAAGGTTTTATTTATTTATTTTAAAGAGAAGGAGAGAAACAGCGATGTAAGAAAGAAACATCAATCTGTTGCCTCTCATACTCACTTGACTGTATGTGCCTTAGGGACTGAACCTGCAACTCAGGCCTGTGCTCTCACTGGGAACAGAACTGGCAACCTTTTAGTTTGCAGGACAATGCCCAACCAACTGAGCGACACTGCTCTGGGCAAAGTGTTTTCTTTGGCTCACATACTATCTTAAAAGTTGAAAAAAAAATACATAAAAGTCTGTTTTTCCTTGAAAACCAATCAGTAAGTCTTGTCAATGCTGGATCCAAATTTCTGCATGGAAAGGATATGTTGAGGCTGAGGGGTGCAGGTGCTTTTGGGTGTGTGAGGAAGGCAGTTAGTTCACCACCCACACCTTCCCAGTTTAACTACCACACCTAACACACTTGACTCACCTATGTTATCCCTTTGGCTCCCCTAGGCACTGGGGAGTTTGCCAAAGTGTACTTTATCAAGTGTTGATATCATACTCATGACTGAATAAGAGAAGATGTAATAAGGTCTAAACATTCAGTGCTAGAAATGGAATTACCAGGAATTCCAAAATATTGTGAGTGACTTCTGATCATAGAAAGAGGCTACAAAACTATCATCCTAAAAACTTTAACAATTTATTTCTGTACTCTGTGATAAAAAACAATGATGAACATGGAGGTGAATGAGTAGAAGTGTAGAGAATGTGAACCTGAACTCTAATTTACATGTCCAAAATAGAAGATACAAAACGTTTCAACAGGTACTTGCTTAAGCTTTATATGATAAAATGCTTTGAAGTTTGTGGTTATGACTGGCCTGCTGTGATTTCTACTCTATTTTGAAAATGAATCCTTTGATCTCCTTAGAGACTTATTCAAGTCCTGGTGAGATAGAAAATAAGCTTCGTTTATTTACAAACATGAATTACTTATTATATGCTTAGTCAGAAATCATCCTGGTATGCTCTAAAAGAGAGGGCAGTTAAGCACACAGATGTTTATGACTTGTTGTATAAGAGCTGCGATAAAGGCATGCTCTTGGTGACTCACAGAGGCACTAAACTTTGGGCTAGTTAAGTGTTGTTTCTTTGAAGGCAGTACAGTAACTTTTCTCTGATCAGGAGCCACATTTTGGAAAAGAATTTAAGAACCATGCAAGTAGAAAACGGGGAGAAGGTTTTCCAAGGGTAAATGCAAAGAAGTGATATTACAGGGTACATTTGAGAAATGTGCAATTAGTTTACAATTATTTTGGATGAAGTAATCGCAAGCAAATTTGTTAAAAATAATGTTTAGTGTAGACTTAGTGGTAAAAGCCTGGCATAGACAGGGTCTGAACTTTATTTTTATTCTGGTTATTAATACACTTATTTCCTATTTGTAACTTTTGACAAATTGTCAGCAAGGGACTATTGAGTGTTAATTCAATTATTTGGAAGAATGATGTCCTGTACTTAAAAAGCATTATCATGTTACCTTGTTCTGACTGTACTTACTCAGATCTACATATCCAACATCCACGTATATTTTAGCAAACAGAGATCCCAGTGTAAAGCTGAGGACTGGACCAATCATTGCTATTGCAAATAAAACACCTGAAGATATTATAAAACAATTTTATCAGGTGCCAAAAATACATAGTTCTTATTCAGTATGTTCTTTAAAGTAACACTACACAATAAAATTTTTAATAAATAAAAGAATGAATTAAGGAACACTATTATTTGAAGGTAGACCCAGGTAAAGTAATCATAAAATCTAATATTTTCTATACATTACCTAAATAAAAAGAAGAATTTCTGTCTTTAGCAAAATCATCCAAGTAAGAGATCCCCAAGGGTTGTATGGGAGTTTCCCCGACTCCACGAAGCAAATTACCCATCAAGACAACTATCCATATATATGTATCAGATTCATTTTCCCAACCTATGTAGACAATAGAGTGTTTTATTTTAATAAATAATTTTAGCATTTCTATTAGAAACTCAACCACATTAATCCTTTAATTATTCCATTTAAAGTTGTTTTGCTTTATTCTAATTATGTGATTTATTCACTTTACAAAACTTGAAAACACAGAAAAGCACAAAGAAAACAACCACACACAGAGATCCACTTCTAAGGCTTGTATACTTGTATATCTTCCACATTTTTAGTGCACATAAAAATATGTGTAATATTCTTTGTGTTCATTATATAGTTAAAAGTCCAGCTCCTATAATATACTTTTGTAGTACTTAGCACCATACTATGACAATTTTCCCATGTTATTAAGAATTCTTGTATGTACGAATTTATTTTATTTTTTCAATTACAATTTACATTCAGTATTACTTTGTATTAGTTTCAGGTGTAAAATATAGTGGTTAGACAATCATATACTTTACAAGGTGATTCCCCAGATAGTTTCAGTGCCTGCCTGGTACCACAGATAGTTATCACAGTACGAGTGATTATATTCCCAATATGGTACTTTACATCCCCATGACTATTTTGTAGCTACCAGTTTGTACTTTTCAATCCCTTCACCTTTTTCAGTCAGCCCTCTAATCCTCCTCCCCTCTGGCAACCACCAATCTGTTCTCTGGGCGCCTGTTTCAAATTTGTTAGTTTATTTTGTTCTTTAGATTCCACATATAAGTGAAATCCTATGGTATCTGTCTTTTCCTACCTGCCTTATTTCACTTAGCATTTTTAATAACAGCATGGTAGTATGCTAAAAAAAAAGTTTCATAATTTATTTAATCACCCTCTTACTTTTCACTCACAAAACATTTCTTTTTTCTGTTAAACAGGGATGCCATATCTATAATCATAAACCAATCCTTGTGCATCCTATTTTCTTAAGATAAATAAATGAAAGTTAGAATTGTTGATTTAAGTAGATAGTCCTGATTTTGTTCTTTACTATATTGAAAATTAACCTCCAAAAAGAGTTAGAAATATATGCAATCCTAGTAATACATAACTATGTCTTTTCCCTCTACCTTACTTATTTTTAATCTTTTTCTAATAGGCAGAAAATCTATAATTAGTGTTAAAATTTATAATTTTACATGTTATAATTTGTAATTACGCATTTGTGTTATAACAGGCAAAAAAATCTTTACTTGGTATAACAATTTGCCACTTTTCATAAATAGTAGTTACATTTTTACATTTTATGCCACTTCCCTCTTTATTTTAAATGCATATATTCTGTGCCAATTTTCTACCAAAAATTTTACTTTTAATTATTTCTAGAAGCTCTTTATGTATAATATATTAACACAACTGTAAAAATGCAAATGCTTTTCCTATTTGTTTTAAATCAATTTTGCTAATCATTTTTACAGATGTTATTAAATTGATAAATTTTAGAATATTTATTAGTGATGCTAATATTGATGCTAATATTCACTAGCATCAATTCAATTCTTACCCTTTTCCTCTCTCTCAGGTGATGTTTTATTGAGTAACACACTTTGATTAATTAAACAGGTCGATAAGCTTGGTATTGAATTCTCTGATGGATTAATGTAGGCTTCTTTAGAATATCTGTAACTGTAAGAACATCATTAGATTTAAATTTTTGTTTAGCTACTGAGTATTTTTACTTTTCCCAGAAATACAGAGAAATTTTCCCCCTCCATATACACCATTCTCTTCTACAAATCATCGGAATCCTCTTCTACTTCCCAGCCTGTATTTTAGGTGATGGATAAAAGTGAAACTGGAGTGTTCAGTAAGAAATATCATTCACTACTCCCCAGGCAAGGATTATCATGTTATTGTACTATTGTCCTAGGAGTGCTTATAATCTCACCAAAATATGAAATATCTTGGTTTTACGCTTTTTTAAAAAACTTGCTAACTGTATCTCCTAGCCCTTTGAATCATCTTCAAAGATAGTCACAGTCTAAACTATTTGATAAACTTTATAACATTTAATAAACATTAGAACAGTGTTTTCCAAATTAATTGAAAGTACACACTAATTCATCTATATTTTCTATCAATAATCTGATTTTTTTCATGGACACACACACACGGACACATACTATCATAAGCCTGACTCTTCAAAACTTAGCTTAAAAATTTCTAATCCATTTTAATTTGAAGAGGAAGACCTTGAGAACAACAGCAATAGAGCTAGAATACGGTCAAATGATAGACCTCATGAGCTCCAAAGGCAGCCTACTGTATGCCAGACACTATATTCAGCTTCAAAAAACTAGAAATAAAACACAGTTTTCATACTTAGGGAATTTTACACTAAGATGAATATACATATGATAAAGCGTATGGTAAATTTAATACACTGGGTCCTGAGTTGTCACAAAGCAAAAAGGGATGATCATCTTTACTTGAAGTCCTGGAATGAGTGGATTAGAGAAGACTTCCCAGTGAAGATGACATGTGAGATGAATCTTGAATATGGATAGGAGTGTAATAGGTAGACAACAACAACAAAAGTATTCAATATTGCAAGAAACACTATGTGCAAAGGTATGACATATGAGGACACATTAGGAAAACTGCAGGTCCAGAATGCGATACTCAGTCGTGGGGAGCAGTGTGAGATGAAATTAGGAAGATAGTCAAGGACCAAATCAATGAGCAACCTGTCTGTGTAAATGGATTTATAATAGATATTAATCCACAGGTGAAAGGCATTCAATATTTTTGACTGTGACCAACAATAAGAAATGCATTTTATGTCACAGCCACAATACACACATATGCACACACATACACACTCACAAATATATGCACAACCAAAACAGATGATTCACAGAAAAATATTTGTTCCTACTCACATTGTATATTCCTCTAGTTTATTTTATTCTACTTGATCTTATCTTATTGTTGGTTTCAATAATTAATCTGAATCAATTTTTTGGTCCACTAGAATGTGAAAGATCCAAGCTGATTTTGGTACAGGGATGAATTCAGTTTTGAATATATGGATGGGAAATGCTTGCAGAATGTTAAGTTGGAGATAACCATGAGGTGGTTGATTAGATAGATCTTGAGTGTAAGAAAAAGTCACAGTTGCATTTAGTGCATGCAATCCATATAAATCATCTAGAACGAAAAGGGAAGGAGATTGAAGGAGTTTAGAGGACACTGACATTATGGTGTCAGCAGCAGAGCAAAAGGATGGGCATGATGAGGAAACATGAAAAAAGGAAATAAATCAAGAGAGAGTAATACAATAAAAAGCAGAAGAAGTACCAGGAAGAAGAAAGTGCTTACAATAGTTAATTATAAGAGAAAGAAAAGGAATTAATATGATAATCGAAGGCAATTGACTTTGGCAATGATTAGGTAATTAATGACTTTAGCAGAAACTGTTCATTGTTTCTCAGTACCATTCTTCCCTCCTTCCATTGTTATAGAAGAAGGAGCTTTTAGTTAGTAGCATGACAGGCTGGAATAAAGTCTATTTTTCCAAAGTATTTATATCTGGATGTAAAATGAAATCAAGTTCTGGCCAATATGAAGTCAGTAGAAGTGTTATGCTTCTGAAAATATTCTCTAAGCTCCAGGCTGTGTGGATCCTCTTTCTTCTCCTTATTCTTTCCTCCTTTTGTCCTGTGGTCTGGAACAACGTTGCCACAGTTTGGACCATCATGTTGAGACCATGCAAGACAGAGCAATGTGATAAAAAGGAGCAGCAACTTACCATTCCTGGGAAAGCTATGTTAAACTTTTTATGTAAAAAATAAGCTTCCATCTTATTTAAGCCATTCCTATTTTAGGCTTTCTGTCATTTGTATTTGACTCTAATTTTAACAACACAGTCACCTTAGGAAGAACTCTTTCAATGAATATTGTAATGGAAAACCCATACCGCAGTGGGTTGAGTGGGGAAGTTTATTAAACATATAAAATCTTGTAGGCAAAGACATGAAGTATATATGTTATACTTCTACGAAGTATGACTATAAAAAGTCATACAGATCTTATTTCTGATGAAACTGTATTCCTTAATGAGTACTATCCATATTTCAGACTCAGTCAAAGCAAGGTGAATAAAGCAGTTATTATTACATTAAAAATAAGCTTTGTTTCTACACATACTTAGTGGGTATTCTTCCAAAAGGTGACCGCTTATTTAAAGGGAAACAATGAAATTTTATTATTAATTTGCAAGTAAATGGTAATTAATGGTGCAGAGCTGTTTAACACTTACTATCCCATGAAGAAATGTGGTAGAGCAGTCACAATGCTTCCAGTACCCATAATGAGGCAACCAATTCCAATTATCCTTGGTCTGTGTAGTTTGGATCCAAAGTAACTCACAAATATAATCACAAGCAAATTTCCTAGAAAGACACCAAAATTATTTTTATATGACTCACTATAGCAAACTCTTAGTCCAATTTTGTGTTCAGTAGAATGGAGGGCCCTAGAATGAATACAAATAGAGCATAGGACATGGTACTTTCCCTCAAAGACCATGCAATTTAATTGAGAAAATGAAACTCACTGACATTAAACCACTCACTGTAAAGTTTCACGACATTAATAGTAAATAGAATAAGTTTCAGATACAAAAGAAAGCACTTGACTTACTTGGCAATGTTAGTGAAGCAAAACTTTATTGAAGAATTTGGAATTAACTGGATTGTATTGTGATGGGGAAAAATGGAGAAAATCTTTCTGACCTGAGAGAAAAGTATTCATTCATGCATTTATTCATTTACTCTAGCATTCTTTAAATTTCAGTTAAGTATCTGCCATGGTATTAGGGTCCAGAAATGTAAAAAAGGAGTGAACCATAGTACCTGTCTTCAATGTACTTGCATAGCGGTAATAAAAATACACAATTAGAGGTGCTGTTAGACCACAGAAAGGGGAAACTTAAGTAAGGGTTTCAGAAGTTTCCTGGGGGAGGGGCCACTTGAAATTTAACGCTGAGTATAAATTATATACATTACAAGGGTAAGAAGAGCATTTCAAATGGAGGGAGTCACGACCCATTCTGATCATCCATGTATAATAAACAGACAACAACCAAGAATTATTGAATATTTGATAGAAAAAACAGCACAGCATGAAATAAAAGCACCAATATGAACTGGCAGATGAAGTAACCTATGAAGAAACAATTAAATAAGGAAATTACAAAAAGGAGAAATTTTGAAAAAAATCTAGTTAGTATTTCTAGAGGTACGTGGGTCATGCGTATCCATAAAATAAGAACTGGCAGACTAAAATTAACAAATGAATACTAAAGTGTTATAAATTAAAAGTATTAAAAAAGTGTGCATGTGGGGACCTGATACGATGAGAGATGGTATCAAAAAATACTGTTGAAACATAAAGATAAAATGACAGAATTTTAGAAAGAAAAACAAAGAAAAATGCACAGAAAATTTAATATTCATCTTATATATGTTTCAGAAGAAAATAAAGGGAAAAAATAAATTAAGAAATATGGAATAAATTTCCTGAGCTGGAGGAAGATTAAGTATTCCGATGCAAATTTCTACATTTCTCTACCATAAATACTGTAAAAGTGATAGTCCTGGGTATATGTTGGTAAAATTTCTGAAATTCAGGGATAAAGAGAGGGTGTCTATCAGTGCATGACAACGATCTGGTAATGATTTTTCTTATGCAACATTTGGTGTTATAAAACAGTACATGAATATTATAAAATGTTCTGAGGGAAAAAGATTTTACATTTTGAATTACATTCAAATTATCACTTGAATATGGTAGTAAAATAAATACATTTTCTAATAAGTAAAGGGCTCAGAAACTGTCATGTGTTCAATTATTTCTGGAAAAAAATACCTATGTGAAAATAATCTTCAGAAAAAACTAAACATGAGACTTAAGTCATAAGAATCAGGAAACAGTGGTAAGCAAAGAAACCAGTAAAACTTAGAACCATGTCCAAATAATCGCTGTTAAATGACTGCAAGGTTTAACAAAAATATTAAGAATAAATTTCTCAATAAAAAGAGATACAATAAATTAGAATTTAAAGCTAACAACAGATTAATATTAAAATTCTAGATGGTTTCATTAAACCAAGGAGGTGAAAAAGTGAAGGATATTTTAGGGTGTAAGATCCTCTGAATCATGAAAAGTCAGAATTCATAACAAAACCATAGCTGGGTGTCCCTTTATACATTTATTTTTTAAATACCCAATATTTAAATGTATTTTAAATAAAGTTAAAAGTTAAACAACACATTGTAGAAAATATTTGCAATCTATACATTCATAATTTTTTAGTTCTTAAACAGTGAGAAAAAAAGAGAAAATAGGCAGAGGTAATAAGCTACCAATTTATAAAATACGAGAAAATAATGTTCAAGAATTAGATAAAACCTCACTATTATGAGAGAAATCCAAATCAAAATGAAGACAACAAAGCAACATATTTAAGGTCCTAAAAAAAAAAGACTTTTAACTCCAAATTTTATACCCAAACAGTAGAAACGTAACAGAGATTGCTCTAAAGCTGTTTCTCCTTCCTCAAATCATCAGAATCAGAATCATCTCTCCAACCTTTTTTTTTTTTAATCTTTTTGCATTAGGGAATTTTAAGAGAGGGAAGGTAAAGCCCTACAAAGTATTTATTTGCAAGTAGTGAGATTATATAGATCAGGGTTTTTCAACCTCAGCACTGTTGACATTTTGGGATGGATAATTCTTTGTTGTGGGGACTGTCCTGTGCATTGTGGGATGTTCAACAGCATCCTTGGCCTTTACTGCTAGATGCATTAGCAAACCCCCTTACTTCAGTCATGACAACCAGAAATGTCTTCAGATGTTGCCAAACTGGCTGTGATAGGGGCAAATTTGTCCCTGGTTGAGAACCGGTGCTGTAGAGTATGTTTAAATAGTTTTTATCTCTGTAAATCTGGTTACTAAGCAGTAATCAAAAGAGAAGTAAAAATTACCAATTTCAAAGCTTCCATCAATTAGGCCAACAACAGAGGACGATAAGTCAAATCTCCTTTCTATTTGGGTGATGGAACTTTTCATAATGGCTCCACCGAATGCCTTAGCAATAAAGCTGAATGAGAGGGCCATCAAGAACATCTAAGAGAAAGCAGGAAAAGGGACATGCTTAGTCACAGAAATACATGTTTATATACCCACAGAGCTAAAATAGCTTTTCTTATTTACTTAAAAATATTATTTTACCATAAAAAAATATACCTAGCTTTCCTCTGTACCATTTGGCACTTCTTAGTCCTTTTAACATTGGTATCACTATGCTGATAAAGCATCATTTTCTAAAGTGATTACGACACCAGATTATTAGAGCAGTAGAGACAATACTTTTAATTAGTGTTATTGATTTATTAAAAAACTAGATAATTCTGAGATGGCCATGATGATAAGCTATTATTTATTTCCAAGTGAATAGTATAGGCTAACTTTGAGGGTGGTACCTGGACATTCTCAAACACAGCATTTTCAGGAAGCCAGCTGGCTAATGGAAATCTTTTCATTTATGAAACATCACTATTATTGGAGAAATCCAAAATAAAATGAAGACAACAAGGCACTATATTTAATGTTTTAAAAAAGATTTTTAATCTCAATTGTCATAGTTTTTTTCCAGTATCATTTATTTTTCCTAGAATCTAGACACAATTAACTAGCAAGACAGTGCTCAATGCTATTTAAGCCTCACTTCAAGTTCTTTAAACTAGCCCATCACTTGTAAACGTGAATTCACATTTCAGTAAAAATTGAAACTAAAATTTGACATTAACAAATTTACTCAATAGTGATGTTAACTACAAATTTTATATGAAACACATGGACTTTTATTACCAAAATTTGGCCTTTATAAACTAGCTTACATAGTTACTTTGCCTATTTGTCCCAACCTACTTAGTGTTGCACCAGAGCGCCGCCCCCGCCACAATAGCTTTTACTACATAAACAGATTCCTCCTACATAAACAGGACAAAGTGAAAAAATTCCCACCCACAAAAAAAAAAAATCCCTAACAGAATTATTCATTTCTAAATTATCAGCATATATAAAGATATAACACCAGAAATAGGTTATGGGCTAGTCTTAAAAGTCTTTTAACCTAAACGTAAAGTTACAGTGTTGACCAAAAGAACACACAGGTTTCTCATTAAACTTTGTTTTAATGGGTCTCAAAATTCTGTGACAGATTTTGGTCAAGTTGTTTCCATTAAAAAGTACTGATTTTAAAAATTAATAACTTAAAAACTGCCACACACAAAAAACCCAAATGGTCCACAAAACATTCTCCTTTCCTTCTGAAGGTTTTACGATGCATTGTAATCATTAACCAGTCCTTTACTATTAAACTTAAGTGGCCGATTGAGACAAACAGTTCTGAGACCGTTCTTCCACCACCGATTAAGACTGGGGTGAGAGGTGTTGGGGATAATATTCATTTAGCCTTCTGAGCTTTCTGGGCAGACTTGGGAACTTCGCCAGCTCCAGCTGCCTTCTCGTCCACTGCTTTGATGACACCAACAGCAACTGTCTGTCTCATGTCACGAACGGCAAAGTGGCCCAGAGGGGGACAGTCAGAGAAGGTTTCAACACACATGGGCTTGCCAGGAACCATATCGATGATGGCAGCATCACCAGATTTCGAAAACTTCGGCCCATCTTCCAGCTTTTTCCCAGAACGACGATCAATCTCCTTTAGCTCAGCAAATTTGCAAGCAATATGAGCTGTGTGACAATCCAGAACAGGTGCATAACCAGCACTGATTTGGTCAGGATGGTTGAGGATAATCACCTGAGCTGTGAAGCCAGCTGCTTCCATTGGTGGGTCATTTTTGCTGTCACCAGCCACATTGCCATGATGAACATCTTTGACAGACACGTTCTTGACATGGAAGCCCACATTGTCCCCAGGAAGAGCTTCACTCAAAGCTTCGTGGTGCATTTCAACAGACTTGACTTCAGTTGTAACATTGACTGGAGCGAGGGGACCACCATGCCAGGTTTGAGAACACCAGTCTCCACTCGGCCCACAGGGACATTACCAATACCACCAATTTTGTAGACGTCCTGGAGGGGCAGACGCAGGGGATTGTCAGTTGGACGAGTTGGTGGCAGGATGCAATCCAGAGTTTCAAGCACTGTGGTTCCACTGGTACTGCCATCTTTGCAGGTGACTTTCCATCCCTTGAACCAAGGCATGTTAGCACTTGGCTCCAGCATGTTGTCACCATTCCAACCAGAAATTAGCACAAATGCTACTGTGTCAGGGTTGTAGCCAATTTTCTTAATGTACGTGCTGACTTCTTTAACGATTTCCTCATATCTCTTCTGGCTGTAGGGAGGCTCAGTGGAATCCATTTTCTTAACACCAACAATCAGCTGTTTCACACCCAGCGTGTAAGCCAGAAGGGCATGCTCCTGGGTCTGCCCATCTTGGAGATCCCTGCTTCAAACTCACCAACGCCAGCAGCAACAATCAGGACAGCACATTCAGCCTGAGATGTGCCTGTAATCATGTTTTTGATAAAGTCTCTGCGTCCTGGGGCATCAATGATGGTCACATAATACTTGCTGGTTTCGAATTTCCATAGGGAGATATCAATGGTGATAACACGCTCACGTTCAGCTTTCAGTTTATCCAAGACCCAGGCATACTTGAAGGAGCCCCTCCCCATCGCAGCGGCCTCCGTCTCAAATTTTTCGATGGTTCTGTTGTCGATCCCACCACATTTGTAGATCAGATGGCCAGTAGTGGTAGACTTGCCGGAATCTACGTGTCCAATGACGACAATGTTGATGTGAGTCTTTTCCTTTCCCATTTTGGCTTTCATTTAGTGGTGGTTTTCTCGACACCTGTGTTCTGGCAGCAAACCCGTTGTGAAAAAGGACGTTCAGGAGAACTACGGCACTTATGTATCTGTTATAGATTTTTTTATTTTCAATTTCATTTTAACAAAATTTATTGACATCCTTCTTACAGTCCACATTCATAGCCGGAAGTAAATTTCTTTTGCTTCTAGTATGAAAATCTAACCTTATTATGAATGTGTGTATCCCCTGCCCAATTCATGGAACGCTCATGATAGGATTAGTGTCCTTATAAGAGTTCACTTTTCTCTCTCTGCCATGTGAAGACCAAGCAAAAAGATAACTATCTGAGAACCAGAAAGAGGGTTCTCACTGGAACCCAACTGTGTTAGTACCCTCATCTTTAAGCTATAGAGTCTATGGTATTCTTTTATAGCAGGCCATGCTGACTTAGACAAATCCTTCTCATGACCTCCTACGCTACCAGTGACCCCCACCAATGTCTCTAGTTTGGATTATTTCATTCGCCTCCTAATAGATCTTTCTGCTTCTGTTCTCATCCCCTTACAGTCTCTTCTCAACACAGTAGCTAGCAAAACTCTTCTAATGTGAAAATTGGATCACACTACCACTCCCTTTCCTCCTATTTCAGTCAGAGTGATGTCTAGTCTTTCCAATGGCCTACCGGGCCCTAAATGATCTGGCCTCTCCCCTCACCCCGGTTATCCTTTCCTCACAAATACTCCTTTTTACCTTTCCAATTTTATCTTCTATTACTCTAGTCCTTGCTCATTCCTCTCCAGCTACATCAGCCTTTTTGCTGGACTTTTAGCATTCCAGGTTTTTAAAAAAATTTTTATTGAATTTATTGAGGTAACACTGGTTAACAAAATTATATAGGTTTCAGGGGCACAATTCTACAACACATCATCTGTACACTGTATTGTATGCTCACCACTACAAGTCAGGTTTTCCTTCGGTCACCATTTACCCTCCCAACCCTCTTTCACCTCCCTGCACAACACCCTCCCACCCTGGCAATCACCACATTGTTGCTCATGTCCCTGAATTTTTACTCTTTCTTTTCTTTTCTTTTTTTTAGTATATTTTATTGATTATGCTATTACAGTTGTCCCAATTTTTTTCCTCCTCTTTATCCCAACTCTGCCCTGCACCCCCCTACCCTCCTGCATTCCCTTCCACCTTAGTTCGTGTCCATGGGTTGTATATATAAGTTCTGTGGCTTCTCCACTTCCTATACTATTCTTAACCTCTCCCTGTCTATTTTATGCCTGCCAATAATGCTTCTTATTCCCTGTCTTCCTCCCATTCTCCCTGTCCTCTTCCCCACTGATAACCCTCCATGTGATCTTCATTTCTGTGATTCTGTTCCTGTTCTGGTTGTTTGTTTAGTGGTTTTTTAGGTTCAAGTGTTGATAGTTACAAGTTTGTTGTCATTTTATTGTTCATAGTTTTTGATATTCTTCTATGTCTTAGATAAGTCCCTTTAACATTTCATACAATAATTACTTGATGATGATGAACTCCTTGAACGTGACCTTCTCTGAGAAGCACCTTATCTGCCCTTCCATTCTAAATGATAGTTTTCTGTATAGAGGAATCTTGGATGTATGTCCTTGCCTTTCATGACTTTGAATACTTCTTTCCAGCCCCTTTATACCTGTAAGCTTTCTTTTGAGAAATCAGCTGATGGTCTTGTGGGAACTCCTTTGTAGGTAGTTCCCATTTTCTTTTTCTCATGCTGAATTTAAGATTCTCTCATCTTTAATTCTGGGTAATGTAATTACGATGTGCCTTGGTGTGTTCCTCTATGGGTCCAATTTCTTTGGGACTCTCTGGGTTTTCTGGACTTCCTGGACTTCCTGGAAGTCTAAAACTTCACCAGATTGGGGGAGTTTTCCTTCATTATTTGTTCAAATAAGTTTTCAATTTCTTGCTCTTCCTCTTCTCCTTCTGGCAGCCCTACTATTTGGATGTTGGAGCACTTAAAGTTATCCCAGGGGTTCCTAAGCCTCTCCTAATTTTTTTGAATTCTTGTTTCTTCATTCTGTTCCGGTTGGATGTTTATTTCTTCCTTTTTTTCCATATTGTTGATTTAAGTTCTGGTTTTCTTCCCTTCACTGTTGGTTCCCTGTATATTTGCTTTAATTCACTTTATGTAACCTTCATTTCTTCCTTCATTTTGCAACCATGCTCAATCAATTATGTGAGCATCCTGATTACCAGTGTTTTGAACTTTGCATCAGATAGGTTGGTTATATCCT